CAACAGACTCACTCCTTGTCCTTGACCGCCTCACAGCATGACAAGGATAGGCACACACATGGGGACCCTTGGCCCTGTTGCAGGTGCAGGGATCCAGGTTGGCTGCTCAGCCAAGGTCTGGTAGCCCAGAGAACAACCTTTTTGGACTCCACTCGAGTTCAGGGAGGCAGAGAATGCCCGCATCTCCTGGAGGATCGCCCTCAGATGATCCTCTGAAAAAGGACTGAAAAAGAAGGGCTGCCAGCTCCCTGGGAGGCAGCTGCTCACTCCGCAAAGGCTTTCACAGCCCTGCTAAGCCAATGGTCAGGAGCCCAGCCTGAGGCCTCTTGCCATCTCTGCAGAGCCCCTGGCTGCCTCCCATTCTGGAATCAGCTCATCTCTGCAAAGAGCCATAACTCACACAGTATGGAATGCCTTCAGTCCTGGCCCACACAGCTGTGCACATCTGGCTGGACTTAAAGCATTTGGCAGTCTGGGCCCAACTGGTGCTCTGCTCCCCGAGTTCCTGTTTCAGGTGGTGCTGAAGGCAGGTGTCCAGCCCCAGGAGAGCGCCAAGGCCCCCTCCCCATGTGGCTGTGTCTGTTGTCACGCCACCCAGCACCACCACTGCCATTCATCTTGGCTGAGCAATCGGTGTGTTCATTGGGAGAGACGTGTCCCTGCCACGCCAGAGCCAGTGAGGGAGGTGGCCTTGCCAAGTCAATTACATTACTTAGATTGAAACAATATTAATTTTGTTGCATAAAAAAAAAGTATGACAAGCCTGGTTCTCATCAGCTGCAGGGGAGAGGCGTGACCACACACCAGCCTGGAGTTTCCCAGTGTCCTAATCCGCTGTGAAAGGCGGTTGAGGCAGCAGTGATGGAAGGTATCATTGCAACTGCAGTCACAAGGAAGACAAGGACCCTGGGACACACATGTGGCTCCAAAGAGAAAGGGTAGACAACAGCAGGGCGGAGTCTCACCCTGCACCTTCTGAAATCAGGGCAAAGGAGGAAGCAGCCTGGATTAAAAGCCGTGGTTAATGGACAGGAGAAAGCAAGCTGGTTCCTGAAAAACGTACTTATTTATTTTCTTCTACTTGAAAGAGAAGGTCACACACACAGATCTTCCATGCACTGATTCACTCTCGCCCAGTTGCCTGTAATACCAGGGCTGAGCCAGGTTGAAGCCATGAGCCTGGAACTCCGTGTGAGTCTCCCACCCACTGGTGGCAGGCAGTTGAGCCATCCACTGCCACCCCCAGGATGCATTAGCAGCGAGCTGAGTCACAAGAAGGGTAGCCAGGTCTAAAACTGGCTCTGCAGTGGGAGCTGTGGGAGTCCCTTGTGGCCGCTCACCCACCACATCACCAGCCCCACCCCGCTGGGATCCCTTGCTTAGGACAGCCCTCATACAGAGCTTTCTGGAGGGACCCCTGGTGTCATGAACCTGTAGGTCCTCTGTGCTGTCTCCTCCATGGTACTGATATGGGCTTCAATAGCTTCCAGGATGACCCTCAAGGGGCAGCAACCCTCCCCATTCTTGTGGACACGGAATCAGTGGCCCCCAGATCTGCAGGTTCTATCCTTGTGGGTTCCACACCTGCAGATCCAGCCAGTCACAAGCTGGAAACATTTTTTTCTTAAAACAACATCCAGGAACAGGCTTTGTAGTATACAGCGGATTGAACACACTGCTTGGACCATCTGCATCCCATCTTGAAGGGCTGGTTTGAGTCCCTGCTGCCCTGCTTCAGGTCCAGCTTCCTGCTATTGCCATCTGGGAGGCAGCGAGTGATGGCTCCAGTGCATGGTCCCCTGGCACCCGGGTGGGAGACCCACATGGAGTCCTGGCCTGCTGGCTTTGGCCTGACCCAGCCCTGACTTGTAGGTATCTGGGCAGTGAGCCAGCAAATGAAAGATCTCTCTGTTTTTCCCTCCTGTGTTCTGTTGCTCTACCTTTCAAATAAATAGAAATACCTACCTTGTTTTTTAAAGTTGCATCCACACTGAACCTGTACAGACTTGCTTCCTTGTGGTTACTCCCTAGCACAGTAAAACCACAGTCCACACAGCACCCACCTTGTGTGGGCTATTGGAAGTCATCTAGAGACAAGTTCCAGTATGCAGAAGGATGTGTTAAGGTTATATGCAAATACAACCCTGTTTCACCAGAGGGACTTGAGCAGCTGCAGAGTTCGATGTTCATAGGAGTCCTGGAACGCATCTCCCACAGCTACCAAGGGACTTAGAAAGGTCTGGAAGGACAAGAGCTTGCATGCGCGTACACACACACACACACACACACAGCACAGAATGGTCTAGAAGGACAAGCACCTGCCCAGGCCGGGCAAGACGCCCACAGTGATCACTTCTGGGGAAGAGGAGGGAGCTGAGACAAGCATGGGAGACACCTGGCCCACAGGGACTTAATTTAAAAAAAAAAAGGGGGGGGGAACTTGCAGGTTACTCTGCCAGTGGCCAGGCTAGCAAGAGCCAAAGCCAAGGCGCAGCTCTCAGGGCCTAGCTTGATTGCTGTGCCAGCCAGGGCAGCTCACCACACCCCCACTCTGTGACCTCCTCCAGTTTCTTCCTCCATCATTTGGGCCACCGGCGAACATTTCGATGAGTCTCTTCTGGTGCTATAGCGTGGAACTTTGCAGTCCTTGATTTTTTTTTTTTCAAACTTGGGATATCCAGAGGGGTGACTCTTACCTGTTCCCTACCTCCACAAGGAAGCCCCCCAACTCTGGTGACCCTTGGATCAGACTCACGCCAACAGGTGACTCTGCCTGGCCTGCAGAGCATGAGAGACATTAATGTAGCTCCTCACCCCAGGGGCCCTGCCTCCTTCCATTTCCACTCCTTTCTTGCATCTTCCTCTGTCAGTGCCCTCCAAGCCAGCCAGCCAGAGTGGTGAGGGCTGAGCAGCCAGCAGATGGCTGAGGTCAGACAGTGCTCTCCGCTGTCGCTGGGAAGGAGCTGACAGGGCTGGTGAGGCGGGCACCCCCTTAGCAGAGCTGGGATGATCACCTCCCACCACCTCTTTTGGAGAGAGTGTGGCCATCTCGCCAGCTGTTTCCCTGGTGGTAATTTGGCAGAACCAGCCATTGAGAGCCGCCTTGCACTGTCCTTCCCAAATAGCTATTTGCTGATTAATTCACACCTTGCTGTGTGTCTGCGTTCCACAGAGAACACATCCATATAAACATGTAAAAGAGCGCTTTGAGAATCGACTTTTCTGACAACCAGCAAATAGTAGCCTGCGGTCCCACAATTGAGTGATTGAAGCCAGCTTCCTGGGGGCTCCCAGCCTCGGTGCTAGATTGAAACCTCTCTAACTCCCGGGGCTCGGTGTTCTCTCAGAGCTTGCTCACCCGCTTGTAGGATGGCTAAGAGGGATGGTCAGTACACAGTGGACATCTCTGGGAATCCCAGATGCCAAGAGCAGATCAGAAGTCAAAGCCAAGGGGTGCTGGCATTGTGGCATGGTGAGTGAAGCTACTGCCTGTGACCCCAGCTGTGAGTCCCAGCTGCTCCACTTCTAATCCAGTTCCCTGCTAATATGCCTGGGAAAGCAGCAGAGAATGGGTCTCCGTAGCTGGAGCATCACCGTGTCAAGACTCTCCCAACTTAGACATAGCTGTGGTTGGAGGCAAGCTAAGGGGACCCACTTTAAGGACCAAGGCTTGATTGGGGTACAGGGTCTCCTCTCCTGAAGATCCCTTCCCATAAGACATGGAATCCCAATCCACCTGCACATCCTGTGGCTTACAAGGGTTTTCCCCCTTTACCTTCTGGGAACTCAGCCTCCACATGCCCCAAACAGAATTCCAAATTCATTTTGGCCAAATCCAATCCTTTCTAAGCTTAGAAATGGTTCCACCGGATACCCGCATAGCAGCATACAGCAGGTTAACTAGCTGCAGCTTGAGAAGCTGGTGGGGCACTGGTTCAAGTCCTGGCTGCTCTGCTTCTGACCCAGCTCCCTGCGAATGCACCTGGGAAAGCAGAGGAAGGTGGCCAACTACCTGGACCCTGGCCACTCTTGTGGGACATCTGCATAGAGTTCTGGGCTCCTCTGGCCCAGCCCTGGTCATTGCAGCCCTTTGAGGATCGAATGAGCAGACAGAAATGCTCTGTCTGTCTCTCCCTCACTCTCTGTCATCCTTTCTTTCAAATTAATAATAATAATAATAATAATTGTTCCACTATTCAGCTAGGTGCTGAATTTGGCAATAGCTGGAATTTGGGGAGTCAAGCAGCAGATGGAAGATCTTTCTTCTGCCTCTCCCTCTGTCTGTCTCTTCTCTCTGTAGAACTCTTTCAAATATATAAATACATCTTTTAAAAAATGGGGAAAATATGAACCCCACATCCTCTCTTTCTTCGTGTGTGTGTGTGTCCTCAAGTTCAGAATGAAATAAAAACACATTTGAGACTTTTTGCCCTTGGCCTTCCTTCTCCCTGGTGGGATCAGTCACCTGTGCTCAAGGCTCCCTTTTTGGGGTTCACAGACAGGACATGCAGGAAGCTGGGTGGGGGGTTCATACTGTATGTGTGGTGCACCCCAGGCTTTTCTGACACAGGTGTCCCAGGAGCTCTCCTTGGAAGAATGCTGCTCTGGGCGAAGGGGGAGCAGGGAGGGGGCACAAGATTTCAACAAGAACAGTGACAAGGCAAAAGATGACCCTGGTGGCAGCAGGAAGCCGAGGTGGAAGCTGTGGTGGCAAGCAGGCAGAGCCGTTAGCAGGCCATCAGAGGTGTCCCAACAGGAGGCAGCGGTGGCCCAGGCCGCCACTGAGTCCGCCTCTCTGCACGAGCCCTTTGATTAATGGAGTGGTTAGCGGTTGGCATAGAAATGAGACCAAGCCTTATTTAACATCCCCAGTGCCGTGGTTTTAATAAAGCTCACATCTCTCGCATTTCCCTTCTTTCTTTTTTTTTCCCCTCCTTCCATGATATGACACATCCGTGTGAGGCCACCATGTTCATTCTGTCAAAATGCTGTGTTCCCAGGACCTTGACATCGGTGCCAAGAACGTGAAGCTTTATGTCAACGAGAACCTCATCTTCGATGGCCAGTTAGACAAAGGAGGTGGCGAGACCCCGGCTGGCCCACAGAGCATCCTGGTCAACCCGAAGGCTGAGCAGAGCAAGAGGGCAGGGAACACCATGGAGGATCCCAAAAGCACAGATGCCCCAGATCTGGCCAGTGCCATGGCAGGGGACCAAGATCTCTGCATCCACCACCCACAACCAGCTGCAGCAGGCATCGAGGTGACAACAGCTTCCCAAGGTGATTTTGTTAGCAAAAGACCAAAACCCTCTGATTGCTGGAAGGACCATCTGCCCACGTCGGGGGAAGAGTCTTCGGCAGCCTCCGCCATAGTGAGTGACAGCCCCAGCTCCCCCGCCCCCACTCCACCTGGGCAAGGCCCTCCCCCAGGTACAGAACTTTCTCTGAGCCAACAATTAGAGAACTTCACGGGCAGCAAAATCCCCCAGCCACTGGGGAAAACCCCGCCCTGGTTACTGCCTTCTCCTGCCCCTGCTGCTGCTGCCGGGAGGGGCAGGAAACCCAAGCCCTTGTGGCTAGGTCCTGAGAAGGCGCCAGACTGGACAGCGGACAGTGGCATCAGCGAGGAGCCCAGAGAGCCCAAGGCCAAAGATGGAGGCCCCCAGCCCCAGCTAGGGCGGGTGACCAGCTGGAGCACCATCGCTGGAGACAGGCTCCAGTCATTGGTCCCCAAGATCTGCAGTGATGACTTCGACCTCTTCAGCCAGCACCCGACCAGGGAGCGGCCCGCCAGCGGGAGGAGGAGCACCAGGAAGGAGACGCTGCTCTGCAGTAGTCATGGCGACGGGCAGCTAGCAGGCAGAGGTAAGCTCTCCAACAAGCACCCACAGTGCCTCTTGATGGCACTGAGCCATTGAAGCTCCCTGCGCAGGATTCTTCAGCTGTAGTGAAGGAGGCGGGGCACCAACTGTCCATTTCAGGGGCCAGAGAGGTGGCAGGAAGTAAGTGAAGTGGGCAGGACACACTTTGCCTGTTAAACTGCTCAAGAGCGTGACCGAGATCTGTCCTTTCACCAATCCATGGCTCTCTCTTACTAGCTGTTGATATTTTGCCCCTGACAGAAGCTAGATGGGAAGCAGAACAGCCAGGACTTGAACCAGAGTTCTGCTATGGAATGAGGGCATCACCCACCCCTGATGCTCATGTTCATAATGAGTCACATTGGCATCTATTAGCAAGTGTGTAGTAGGTGTCCAGACCCCTGATATGTCAGCCACTGAGGACGCCCGAGCCAGGCTCTCAAACATCAGGATGAAGCTTTACAATCTCACTCAGTCCTGCTGCCTAAACCCCAGCTGAGCTCTGACACTGAGATGGACTGTCAAGGAGAAAAGCAGACTGGCAGAGAACCATCAGGAAGCTTGGAAGGCAGGTAGCCAGTAATGGCTACAGCGGGATCTGAGCCCCAGACAGTGCAGCTCCAGAATCCATGCTCCCCCAACTATCCCCGGTGCCCTGGGAGAGCCAGGTTATTTTGAGCCTTCCTGTGAACCAGACATGTGCAGAGCTGGGAGGTTTCAAGATGATCAACATACCTGTAACTTTGCCCAAGTTCACAAGACCTTGTCTCACTTTAATTTCTCTTTCCAGGCATTTCCCTGCTTGGCTTAATGGCATATTAAGAGCCGAGCCCCAGAGATTCCATGCTTTATTAAGCTGGTCATGCTAAAAAAAAAAAAAAGAAAAAAAAGTCAATTGCTTAGAAATGTTGAGTTCCCCGTTACCCAGAGCCAAAGCCCATAGCCATGCCCTGTGGACCCAGCACAGGGCAAGCCCTCCTGGCATGCAGATGGGACCAGTGAGCCTCAGAACCCTTCCCTGGGACTGCAGTGGTGACACTGTCACTGCAAGAGTCCCAGGCTCCTGTGTCTCACAGAACAGCCATCATAATCACATCCGTGTCCCCGAAGGATCTCCCCTAGGGGCAGTCGATGGCAGGAGAATGCCATCTCATCAGCCCAGAGGAACAAGAATGGGCCTCTGATCTCAGAGGGCACCCCAACCCAAAGGCAGGGAGCGTGGACACTTATCCTGGACTGAGGGAGGACCCTGAAAGCTGGCCTCTGCTTCTCTGTGGGTGCACTGCCACTTCCTCCCCTTCCCCTCCCTAACCCACATCAGCTTCCTCTGCTCTGTTCACATGGCAGGAGACAACCCCAGAGCCCTTAGCGTGACTACATCTGGGCTCTCCAGGTCCAGCAACCAGTGGCAGAGTCTCGGGGCAGGAAGCTAACTGGTCCACTTGGATCAGGTGTGCGTTCCTTGTCCAGTCAGCAAAGGCTGCAGGACAGTTCCCAGGGATACAGGAGTAGCCCTTGGTGTGCTCTTCCTGTTTTGGTAGCAATACTGGGAGCCTCCCAGTGGTGCCGTTGGCATTCCAGACACTCTAGGGCAAAGCTTCGTAGTTGGTGTTCTTCTCAGGCCCGGAGTGTTCTGGAATCTTGGCTCCCACCTCCCCCTAACCTGGCTGCCTGCAGAGTAATGCAGCCACTTTCTGCCATCTGTCCGGATTAAGGAAGGCACCACAGCAGCCCCAGACAAGCAGTGATCCCATCAGCTTCTCAACTTCCAGGGAGAGAAGTCTAGTGTGCTGGGGAGTGCTAGTGTGATGGGGCGGCGGAGAGACTAGTGGGGTCCCAGGCAGCAGTCACTCCTGCTTCCTCCGCATCGAAACCCTGAGGGCACAGGGCAGGGAGAGCAAGTCAGAAAGTGGATGCAGAACAGATGCCAAGTTCCCCTGTCTGGCTGGTGTCCCCTCCCTGCCCAGGCCCGGTCCCTGCTGCCTGACATTTACTGCCATCTCTTAAAGCACCTGCAAACCAGCCCAGGCCGATGCCTCCAGTCAGGTGAAATGAGATCACGCCAGCGGCGTAAGTCTGCACAGCCCAGATGGGGAGCTCCCTGTGCCAGCTGTTAGGACACGTGCCTGGAAGGAGAGGCCGGAAGAACTCCTAGGGTCTTTTAACAGCAGACCAGGAGAGAGAGGAGGCAAGAAGACAGGTGCTAGAGAACTGACAGGTGGAGGGGAGTCCCTTGCCTGCAGGCCTGTTTCAGTAAGGGAGGGGCAGGGGGGTGATGGGTACAGCAGTGCTACTAACCAGCCCTCTCTAGCAATAGACATTTATGAAGCATTCCTGTATACCAGGTGTGTGCTGGGCACTGGGCACAACAGTGTGCCAAGGACAAGGTGCCAGAGAAGGCCTCTCCAAGGAGATGAGTGATCAAGAGCCAGCTAGGTGGGCACCTGGAGGCCAAGACATGGCAGGAACAGAGTGATCACGGGCCTGGGGGCAGTGGGATGAGGTTGTGGAAATCAGCGGGTACCACTCGGACACTGGGGCTGTGGCGCGATGTGGATGGTCTTTACTGTCGAGATCATGTCAGGAGTATGGAGCTTGAAGTGACAGAGTAGCCACATCTAGCAACTGGAACTGGAAGGTTACAGCTGGGGTGGAGAATCCAGACACTGAGGTAGGAAGCTGAGCTGCACCTGCCTGTGTCAAGAACTGGGGGAGGGCAGAGAGATGGAGCCGAGGCCTTGGGACACTCCCGGGCTTAGGGGCTGGATGGTGGCGCTGCTGGGATAGGAGGAGAGCAGCCGTTGCTGCATAGGATGGTGTAGGAAAGCAGGAAGGAGCAGAAGCTATGGGAGTAGGGGAAGGGAGACAAGGACATAGCTAGTGGCCGAGACCTGCTCGGATATCAGGTATGCAGTGGACAAAGGCTGGGTGCTTGGGCAATGCCAATTTTCACTCAGAGAAAGCGATTTCAACGGTGGCTTGTGGGGATTGTGGGATTCACATCGGAATACAATGGGCAGGAAGCCAGCCAGGGTTTGACTTCAGACACAGCTGGGGCCTTGGCTCGCAGGCTGTCATCAGGTCTCTGTCTCTCAGCACCTGTGCCCATGTTGGCTACATTCTCAGGCAAGTCCCTGTGCCTACTACAGTGTAGCAGAATAGCCCCTGGCAACCCCCCACACAGCATCCTGCCAGCTCAATTTAGAGAGAGTCCCTTGGAGCACAGCTTGGAAGGCCAGTGTGCACCTGGTCTGGATGACCTGAAGGGAGCGCTCCAAAGGACAGTTGGAGTACTGTGTCCAGGAGAAAGGGTCAGGCTCAGGTGGCAGGGAGTAAAGAGAGTCTCTTGATGCTGTAGGGGGCACGGTGCCTGCGGGGAGAGGGAGGAAATAGGACAGCAGCCAGCCAGCTGGAGCCACGGGACTGGGTCTGCTTCCTGTTCCTTTCTTCTCATTTAGGGAGGAAAGATTGATGTGTCGTGTGCAGGCAGCAGTGAGGGGGAACAGGTGTCATGGGGAAGGAATGATGGAAGACCCTGGGGAGGAGAGGTGATTGATGGGCGCGGGCCCCTTAGAAGACACGCAGGAAACGGAGTGCCACAGTAAAGAAGGGAAGGGGGAGGCATCAGCCACCATTTTGCCAAAGCAAAACCTTGGATAATGGCCGGCCATGGTGGCAGGCCTGTGTGGACAGGCCCAGCGTCCCCTGCCCCTAAGGAAGCCGTCCCACCTAGGGGAACACGTATTCCCTTGCCATCTGCCCGGCTCATTTATAATCCCTCATTGTTGTTTCTTGACTATAAAAGGTTGGTGGGAGAATGAAAATAGGAGATAGGCACATTTTCTAAGGATGTTTTCTTTTTTTTTTTTTAATTGAAAAGGTTATGGAAAGGGCGAAGGGGTCACAGACCAATGTGGGGCATATTGAAGGATGGAGTGGGCCGAGAGAGGAAGGGTGTCTGCAGGAAGAGGGAGAGAGATGTTCCCACCTCATCCTATGTCTGCAGGAAGAGTGCCCCTCCATGTTGCCCGATGACATGTGCCTGGGAAGGGGTGTGGTTGTTTGATACCACCCCCAGGTCCCCGGCTGCGGGAGAGGTCCATTTGATGGACAAGGGAGATTTACAATGAACAGGGGAGGTGTGTCTTCCTGTTCATGACTCTAAGCTAACTACCCACTTGTCCCATTTCATTCTAACCTGAGAGATTTCCAGTTCTTAATCCAAGAACTGCCAAGGAGTGCAGGTTCATTACATCTTCTTTAATTACTTCCTGCTGATTAGGGTATATCAGCCTTGTATGTCCAGCTATGGACAGCTCTCTCAGCTAATGGAACCCTCTCATGACATGAAGAATTTCCATTTTGTGTCACTGGCCGTGAGCCCCTACACCATCATCATTGCTCTGTGAAGTTGTTGGCTTCTTCTCACACGAGTCTTTAACAGGGGTGACCTAATCATGCAACGTGTGTGTTGAGGCCAGGCGGCACACCCATGGGCTCGAGTCCTTGAAATTATAGATCCTGACCCATTTAAGGCCAACGGAACATGAAAGCATGGGCTGCTTGTCAATGCCAAAAAGTCATTAGTGCCCCTACTCCTTCCATCAGCGCCCGCAGCAGGTGCTGCAGCCTGGCCCAGAGGGGCCTGGCATGTTAGCCCTTAAATGCCCAGCCCCAGCTCTCCCCATCACTGGCCCGCGGAAACCCATGGCACGAGCTCCGTCAGCATCAGAAGCCCTCAGTGGCTGCCCAGGCATCACCTCTGAGCCTGCCCCCAGCCTGCCGCATGAGCCTTCCCAGGAATGTTCTCAAAGCATCCTCGTCCATGTAGGAAATTTAGAAATCCATGTCAATCACAGGGCAGGCACAAGGTTTCCCAGGTACCACCAGGTCACAGTCGCTGTCCTCACCCTGTTGTGTGTCACCCATCCCAGCCTTTACTCCATTCAGCATTCTGTGAGCCTTCCACCTGCCATGAAAACACTCTCTGCAGACTCAACAGAGTCAGGGCACCACATCAACGACAGGTGCCACTCCTGCCATTAGTCACATCTGGCAGAGGTCATCACTACACTGTGCAGGTTTCCCTGGATTTCCTGTCAGTTGTCTTCTTGGGAAGGGAAGTCATTGTTCACGAGAATTTATTTAGTTATTTATTATTATTACTATTATTATTATTATTGGTAAAAGCAGCTTCTAGATGAGGATACTTGGAGGAGTTTTTTTTTGCCAAGTTCAATGTCAAGTGTGGCACTTGAGGCCATGCCCTGTGCAGGGATCATCCTATGTGGCGCAAAGTGGTAACAGTCCTGGAGCCACCCAACAGATGCCAGCCAGCAGGGCCTCCAGCACAGCGAGATGGGCATACCCATGTATAAACACCTCATGTCTAGAGCATAGCCCTGTGCGGCTGACAGCCCCACTTCGCTGTGTGCCACTGCCAGGCCTTCACACTTCACCCTCACCCCCTGCCATGACCTCTCTTGTAGGAGACAACTGGTCCACCAGGACCCCGCCACGGTCAAGGTGGTGCAGCGAGCAGGAACACACACTGCATGAGTCCTGGAACTCCCTAAGTGCCTTCGACCACTCCCACCGGGGCCGCATCTCACACCTAGAGTCCCAGGGGGACATCCTGGATGAGTTCCTACAGCAGCAGAGGGGCAGCCGGCAGGTTGAGCCATCCATGACCCCGCCAGGGAAGGGACAGCTGGAACCACAGCTGGGGCAGGAGATGACAGACAGCACGGAGACCAGCACTGTTGGCCCTGCCTCCACCAACAACACCAATGACGGTGACTTTAAAATCCCTGTCTTGCCTTATGGGCAGCACTTGGTCATCAACATCACATCCACCTGGGGGGACAGACACTATGTAGGCCTGAACGGCATCGAGATCTTCAGCTCCCAGGGCGAGCCTGTGCAGATCGCCAGCATCCGAGCAGATCCCCCCGATATCAACATCTTACCGGCCTATGGGAAAGACCCCCGCGTGGTTGCCAACCTCATTGATGGGGTGAACCGGACACAGGATGACATGCATGTCTGGCTGGCCCCTTTCACACCTGGCCAGTCTCACTCCATCTCCATCGACTTCACACACCCTTGCCAAGTCGCCCTCATCAGGATCTGGAACTACAACAAGTCTCGCATCCACTCCTTCCGTGGTGTGAGGGACATCACCATGCTGCTAGACACACAGCTCATCTTCGAAGGCGAGATCGCCAAGGCCTCGGGAACGCTGATCGGAGGTACGGGTCCACCTGGCGAGAATTTTCTCGAAGCCCCCTGACTGCTAAGGGGTGGGGAAGAAAAACTCCCTGGCTGGCCAGCAACGCACAGGACTCCACACCTTTTGGGGTATATGGGCGGGCTGAAACCACAGCCTCACTCAAGCTCCTCTGCTAAATCCCTGTGTCAGTGGGGTTCCTGGGAGCTGGATCTGAGAAAGTGGGGTTCTTTGGCAAGTTGACAAACTGAGAAAATGCTTGTAGGAGAAACTGGTATAAGGAGAACAAGGATACAGGCGCAGGGGAGCCAGCCTCTGCAGATCCCCAATGTGCTGGTAGAGGGCGAGGCCTGCAACATGGGGAGCCCCTCAGCACCCCACCTGGGCTCATTAGATCCAGGCTGCCTAAGATGGGAGCCTTTCATGTGCCTTCCGGGCAAGGCGCCATGGCACCTGCCAGAGTGCCCGCCTCTCTTCCCACTCTGAAGCACTCTCCCTTGTACACATCCCAGGAATGCTCATCAGATTAAGTCCCCGTCTGAGTACCCTGGTTCTCAGGGGGCCTGAAATGCATGTGCAAATGGACGAGAAGAACAGCTCACTCCCATCAATAACCGTCCCTAGTTGAGGAATACAGGATGCGAAGGCTGATGAATTACGGTCATAGGCGGGGAACATCTGACCCATGGGTCCTGCCCTGCCAAGGTGACCGCAGGTGGCTCTCACTGATATTTTTTTCATCAAGTTTTATTTATTTTATTTGAAAGAGTTACCCAACAAAGGGAAACACATACAGAAAGAAACATCTTCCGTTCACTAGCTCACTCCCCAAGTGGCCACTATGGGCAAAGCTGGGCCAGGATGTTGGGAGTCAGGAACTTCTTCCAGATCTCCCAAGTGGATGCAGTGGCCAAGGACTTGAACCATCCTCTGCTACTTTCCCAGATGCATTAGCAGGGAGCTAGATTGGAAGTGGAGCAGGAGGGACTTGAACTAGTGTCCCTGTAGGATGCTGTTGCTGCAGGTGGAGGATTAGCATGCTGTGTCCCTGTGCTCCCCTGTAGCAGGCAGGTTTTTTTAAGTGGTCATTTTGTATGGCCCCAGAATGATGTTAGGAAAAAACAAATGGCCCTAGGCAAAAGCAGAAGTCCCCCATTCCAGGGGTGAGGGGGTATATAGATGCTTGGTCTCGGGGTGTCTGTAATTGGAGTCGACCCTCAGCCTCACTTGACCTTGCCCCTTCCAGCCCCCGAGCACTTTGGGGATACGATCTTGTTCACCACCGACGACGACATCCTGGAGGCCATCTTCTGCGCGGATGAGATGTTCGACATGGATGTGCAGACCCTGTGCCACCTGCAGCTCGATGAGGCGCTGCAGAGGCCCAGCACGGCGGATGGCAGCGGCGACGAGCGGCCCTTCACCCAGGCTGGCTTATGGGCAACAGATGACTGGGTAGGCCTGGGACGCAGGACTGGCGATGCAGGGTGGGGCGGGAGCACAGGGTGGGCACCCCCCCACTCAGCTTGGTTGCTTCTCCCAAGCTGGGGAGCAACGCCAGAAGGAAGATGGATCAGCCTGAAGCCGCCAGTGCCTCTGCTCTGACACCCCCCATTTTTCTGCTTCATTTTCTGTCCCTTGTCTCATATTTCATTCTCTAATTATTTTTTATTTTTTTTAATCAAAGTGAAGAAAGTATTCAAATTTTAATCAAAGCTGAAAGAAATCAGTTCCATGTCATCTCAGTAATTTAGAGGTTGTCGGTCTCAGGGGAGGACTTTTTTTTTTTTTTTTTTTTTGCCCTGGGTGCTTTTTGATCACTTGTTGTTGTTTTTGATGGAAAGGTCAGAAATGTTTTTAATAGGCAGATTTAGCAGGAAAATAAAAGCTAATCAAAGCATTGGCTCCTGGAGTACACCGGGATCCAAGTCCAGGGCATGGCAGCGTCACCACCTTCAGCCCTCAGGAGGCTGCTCCTAGTAAAAGGGGCGGTTGCTATTCCCAGTGGGCAAGCAGGCTCATGACAGGTTATGTGACTTCCCAAGGCACGTCACAAAGCAATCCAAAGGTTTGACTTTACACACTAGGCTCCAACCTGTATGCTTTTAAAACTGAAAACCAAAACAACAACAACAACAAATTTAAACATCAGTGTATCTATCTGAAAGCCAGAGTTAGAGAAAGAGAGCTTCCATCTGCTGGTTCACTTCCCCAAACGGCTGCAATGGCTGGTTCAAAGCCAGAAGGCAAGAACTTCCAGGTCTCCCATGTTTAGTGCAGGATGCCCAAGCACTTGGACCATCCGCCATGGCTTTCCCAGGCACATTCACAGGGTGCTGGATTGGAAGTGGGGCAGCCAGGTCTCGAACCAGCACCCATGTGGGATGCTGATGTTGCAAGCTGGTGATTTTACCTACTATGCCCACAGCGCCAGCCCCTACAGATCTGTATATTTAAAAACAGAGTTAAAGAGAGGGAGAGATCATTGAAGAGATCGCCCATCCACTGGTTCACTCCCCAAATGGCTGCAATGGCCACAGCTTGCCCAGGTCAAAGCCAGGAGCCAGGAATTCTGTGGGGGTCTCCCACCTGGGTGGCAAGGACCAATGTACTGGGGTCGTCTGCTGCTGGTTTCCCTGGCACATTAACAGGGAGCTGGATCAGAACTGGCGAGGCTGGAACCCGAAGTGGCCTCATGCATTTTCCTACAGGCAGCAGTGTAACCTTCTGTGCCACACATCTGGTCCCTGTCTGAAGAACTTTAAAATGCAGGAGCTCTGACCTTGCTCGTAGTGGTTCTGATTCTGTGAACAGCCAGGCTTCAGAGTTCTTCAGCCAGGCTCGAATTCTCTCCCCATCTTTCCAGTGAATATCTCTGTCATCCTTCCTTTCTTCCTTCTTTTCTTCCTTCCTTCTTTGAGCAAATCCAAGCACCTTTCCTGGCAGCCCCATCCCCTCCCCTGCCCAAGAGAACTGCTGCCAGCCTAGAGTCAGATGCCCACATGTTTCCAGGCCTGCCCATGTCGCTGGTCTCAGAGCTTGCGCAAAGACAAGAAATGCAAGAAAACATGCAAGGGTTGTCCCTGGCACAGGGTGGGCAGTGCTGCCTGGACAAGCAGCAACCAGCTGTGTGAGTATCACTACAACTACAGCACCCTTCCCTTTGCTTCTTCCGTCCCGACTGATGTGCAGGGCCCGGGACCGGAGGTGCCTGACAGCCCCCCTGTGCCTGAAGTTGCCACGCCGGAGCCAGGTGTCTACCACGGCATCTGTGAGTACCTCTGTCTCTCCTGGAGGGGTCTCCGGTAGAGGGAGGGCCTTTGGGGGTCAGGGCTGGAGTTGAGTGTCTCGGACAGTCGGGCGGGTTGTACACTGCACAGACACCAGGCCATGGCATGAGCATGGCCAGAAAGCAGCCTGTGCTCAGCTCCAGGCAGGGCCCTCTGAGGAAGGCAACGGCTCCCAGGGTGTCCTCCCAGATGGGGCTTTTTTTTTTTTTTTCAATTTTGCGTGCACATCATCTTATATGTTAGCTACAGCCCAACCCTAGAGGTTGCATTGGGATTCCAGAAGGTGTGGGGCAAGAGAATCAGAGACCCAGAAGGGTTCCAGGGTCATCTGTCTGAGCCTGGGCTCAAGCTGTCTACTCCACCAAACAGGCTCTCAACAAGAGCCTACATTCCTCCCTGTGGTTCCGTGTGCTACGTCGCCAACTCACACGTTGGCATTGCCAAGTTTCCTGTGGAAACTCCCAGTTAGCACATGTCAGTGCTACTTTTCTAACTTTCTAAACTACCCCATGAGCCAGAGGAAACCCAAACTGTGACCCCCGGTTGGCCAACTACTGGGGTGTGACCTTGGAGCAGACTCCATGAGCTCCACTGCGTCTGTTCTCATACCTTCATGTACCCTTCCAGACAGTCCCACTCTTTCCTTAAGCAAGATTGATATATTTATGTGAAAAGTCAGTGACTGAAGGAGGGAAAGAGAGAAAAAGAGAGAATCATCCATCCACCAATCCACTCCCTAGATGGCCCCAGCAGCTGGAGCTTGGCCAAGCTAAAGTCAGGAGCCAGGAGCTCCATCTGGTTCTCCCACGTGGGTGCAGGAGCCCAAGCACTTGGACTGTCTTCTGCTGCTTTTCCCAAGCCACTAGCAGGGAGCAAGATCAGAAGTGGAGCAGCTGGAACTCAATCTGGTGCCTGTACAGGATGTGGGCCTCCCAGGCACTGGCTTATAATGTCCTTACTTATTTATTTGAAAAGCAGAGTGACAGAGAGGAAGAAAAATAGAAAAAGAGCTTCCATCTGCATGTTCATTCCCCAAATGGCTGCAACAGCCCTGCAGCTCCAAGGTCAGAAGCAGCAAGCAGGCCTGGAGCGTAGGACATGGTTTAGAAGACAGCGAACCATGAACCTAGAGACAGAGCCATGTTGGTGCATTGCATTTGCCTTCCAAACACCTCCCTCTCTGTTGTAAGCTGTTTCAAGCAGGGCAGTTCTCTGGGCTGACTTGGCTGGCCCCTCTTGGGCCTGCTTGAGCGTATGATCAGCCAGCCGGAGGCAGGCAGCAGCTAAGGGACCAGAGTGGCTGGGGTGGCTGGCTCCTCCATCAGGCGTAGAACAGCAGGTCAGGTTCCATGCAGCTGGCCTCTGTAGTCCTGGGACGCACGGGCTGTGCGGCTCGAAGCTACGACACTGTCCCCTTCTCAGAGACTGGTTGTCCCTGCGGGAGGGTGAAGAAGAGGTGAATTTCACTGAGGATAATGAGGAAGACTTCCTGAAGGAAGAGATCAGCTGGGGGAATATTGAAGGGACTGAATCCACAGGAATCTGTCTGCCAGTGGCCCATTGACACAGCATCAAACTTCCCGAAGTTGGGGCTTGCAGACCTCACCACCTGCCTGCATTTGGTTGACTTGTCTAAGTGTCCCATCTCCGTGCTAAGCACCATGCCAGGCTCTGTGAGCACAGTAGTCCAGCAGAGTAGGTGGAGCCTCAGACAGGGCAGGTGGACTCAAGGGGACTGTGCAGGGAGGTTTGGTCTGGTCATGGGAGTCGGGAGGCAGGCCAGCAGCTTCCCTGAAGAGGGAGCTAAAGTCTGAAGGACAAGCACAAGTGAACCATGCCATGTGAGGCCAGGAACCGCATATGCAAAGGTCCTGTGGCAGGCAAAAGGAACAGAAATACAAGTGACTCACCAGAAGCCTGGATGAGGCCCAGGGTCTCTAGTGCCCAGCAAGACTGAGAAGCAGGTGGGGGCGAGGGGAAATGTTGTGCCAGCCGAAGAGTCTGGTGGTAATGAACAGACCAGCTCCCAGTAGAGGTCTCAGTGGCCTGCAGACATCTCCTGGCCTGGTCCCCAGGGTTTCCAAGAGGAGAGGCGGAGCCCACCCTCCACACATTGCGCTCCCGTCTGGATTCAAGCTAGCACGTGGTGGAGGCTGAGGGTCCCGGCTCTTCCATCTCCACCTGAGATGCCTCCTCTGAAGCCTCGGGTGTTGATGCGGCCTCTCTCCTCCCTGTCACAGGCCTGCAGCTGAATTTCACTGCCTCCTGGGGGGACCTGCACTACCTGGGCCTCACTGGCCTGGAAGTGGTGAGCAAGGATGGCCAGGCCCTGCCTATCAGCCTGCACCAGCTCTCCGCCTCCCCCAGGGACTTAAACGACCTCCCCGAGTACACGGATGACTCCCGGACCCTGGACAAGTAAGTGTAGGGCAGGACGGTGGGGAGACTGGGACTCGCCTGACAGCAGGGGATCTGGGGAGTATGTTCAAATAGCATCCCACAGGTCATCTGCTCCTGGCCATCCAGTGTGACCAAGAGAAGGAAGATGATGGCCCATCCCCCCGTCAGGGCCACTAGTTCAACATGACACCATGTGTAACTCTTCATGGCCAGTGGGGTCCACACTGACACATGAACAACTCAGGCCCTTCACCCTGTGTGTGCCCGTGGCCAGCTCCACCTCTGCATCCTGGGTGGTCACCCTCCCATGGACTTAGACGCTTCCAGTCCTACCTGTTTGTCCACCCTGACCGATCACCTGCTCTCTGCCCGGGAGATCTCACAGCCGGTCCCCCAGCCTGGGCCTGCTCCCACTTCCCCTTTAAATCTTTCAGTCCACATCTATAAGCAGCAGCAGTTAGCACGCCGGTGTCTCAGCTGCCGCCCTTATAATGACATGAGGCAGCTCCATTACCAACTCTGTGGAGGCTCACGGTGATTCCTTGCATTGCCAGATGTCCAGCAGGCAGGTATTTCTGGGCACTCTCGCCTCCTGCCTTTTTAAATGGTTGGCTGGCTCACTTGGAACACCCCATGAGGGCCAGCACTAGGACGCATGGAGATGACTCAAACCATGCACTTCTTCTCTCTTACAAACCCCTTCTTTGTCCAGTGTTTTCTTGCAGATTATGGAGGGGGCCAACCAGGACTATTTTTGCCCTGTGCAGTCTAGAGTTTACTGGCTGCATCTCAGTGGTGCTGTTTAGCCTGTGCCTCACTCCGCCGTGTTTCTGTTAGATGGCCCAGTGGGTCTGATGGCTTCATCAGACTGCCGTGTGACTGTAGGGACAAGACAGTCACCTGACAGCCTCAGGATGCGGACAGGTCATCGGTCCCTCTTTATCCACGGGACATCCATTCCCAGACCTGGCCATGGACCCCTAGAACCACAAGGCGGTTTCCTTCACACATGAATCCATGACCAAAGTCCAGTTTATAATTTCTTCCTGGACCCCAGGAAGAAATTAGCATAAAACCCCCTCATAAGACAGAGTCCTTGCAACAATCAACCATAGTAAAAGCTATTGGAAACCTAGAAATGATTTCTTTCTGAAATTTTCCACAGAGTGTTTTTTAAGACAGACCACAGTAGACCCACGGGTAGCTGGAAGCAGAGCGGTGGTTAAGGGGTGGGGGCTGCCATGAACCATCTGGTTGCCAGGCTCCATGGCAGCGGCAGTCGAGCACACCCAGGGCCTGCAACTCCCTCCCGCTCAGTAAGGACTGTGAAAAGGGAATACTGTTGCCCTGTCATTCTTTTTCTCATTTATTTGCTGAAATTACTGCAATAAAGCTAGCGCCCCCCTTCATTACGTGCCGACTCTATTGTACAATTCCGACAGGAAAAGGCAGCCTCTATGCTCAAGGCTCCCCTCCTTGCTTTTGTGTGTGTGTGTGTGTGTGTGTTTGTTTTTTTTTTTTTCTTTTTGCGGGTTTTAGAATAACAGACCAGATCCCCATAGCATCCTCTAAAACATGGCTCTGTTTCTTTTGGAACTCACTGTAAGCTCATGGGTGTAGACATAAAGTACATCATGGTTGAAGCGTGGCAGTACCTTGTCGTTTGCATCCCTGCTGATACCCCAGGCTTCCCCCATTGAACCTGGGAGCTCCTGAGGCTTTTTTTTTTTTTTGGTAAAATTAATGTATTAGAAAGGCAGAGCAACAGGAAAAGGGAGAGAGTGAAGGAGAGAAAGATAGAATCTTTCATCACTGGTTCACTCCCCAAACGGCCGCAACAGCCCAGACTGGACCGGGCCAATGCCAGGACTCAGCAGACAGAACTGCCCTCTTGGTCTCTCACATGGACAACAGAGACCCCAAGCACTTGGGCCATCTTCCACTTCCTTCCAGGCACATAAGCAGGGAGCTGGAGCTGCAGCAGAAGCAGAGCAGCAGGTCGTAACATTGGCTCAACCCGCTGTGTGACAGTGCCCACCGCTCCCCAAGCCCCTACCAAGTCCAAGGTCTTCATTTCTGGTCACTTTTTTTTTTCCTCCTGATGGGATAGGATAGTCCAGGCTCGTCTTGTCCAAGGCCTTGAAATCAGATGCTTTTGTAGGGAACCCTGCTTCTCATGCGTGGGAAATGGTCCTTGGAGACCATTCTGCAGCCATTGGGGTTGCTCGCTGCCCCTGGGACGGGCACTGTCTCTATGACGTTGGGTGTAGAATTAGATGTTGCTGAAGGTGTCTGGCCACTCTCACTGCTCCGGCTGGGGCCGAGGCAAGGGAAGCACTTGGCAGCAGTTTGGAGAACAGTGGAGCTGACCCCATTTCCAGGACCAGCAGGCAGGTCAAGACCTTTGGAAGGAAGTTAGAGGCTCTCTGGCAGCAGCCAGCAGCTCAGCCCCGCAGACGCCCTGTGCCGAGTTGCCGGATGTCCTCAGTTTGGAGCTGCCAACAGTTGGGAGACACGCCATCCATCAACATAATAACAGCCTTTTAAAGGAAGAAAGAAACATTACCTCCTCAGATGAACGCTTAGACTTGGAAGATTTATGCCAAAACCATACTTTGAGATGTAAAAGGCAAACAACTGTTTATTTCAACAATCTAAGAACCACAGGCCAGGTGGCCTGGCTGTCTCCCCTGCACGATAGTGACCCTAAGGTCACCAGAGCCCCAGGGGTATGCAGTACAGGAGGCCAACCATGGGGCCCATTTCCTGGGCCAGAGCCCTGAGGACCAGGGTCTGGGGTCAGAGCTGAACCCTGCTGGGATGTCCAAGGTAGCCAGAGGCAACAGGGCCCTTGGGATCTCAGGCAGTCAAAAAGGGAAAGAAGATGGGGCCAGGGTGACACATTCACAACAGTAGCAGCTGGGGTGGTGGGGGAGAGTGCTGTGGTACAGCTGTTTAAACCTCTGCCAGCAATACCAGCATCCCATAAGGGCACTGGTTTGAATTCCAGATGTTCCACTTCCAATCCAGTGTCTTGCTAATGTTCCAAGGCAGGCAGTGGAAAATGGCCCAAGGATCTGGGGCCTCTGTGTCCTATGGGAGACATGGAGGAAACTCCGACTCCTGGCTTCAGTCTGGTGTACTTGAGTCACTGCAACCATTTGGGGAGTGACCCAGCAAATGGGAGCGCTCTCCCTGTCTGTCTTCTCTCTGCCTTTCAAATAAATAAACCAATCTTTAAAAACAGAACCAAACACAAGAATAGGAGGTGGGAAAGGCTGGGGGCTGACCAGGCCTGTGGTTACAGAGCACAGTCAGGCAAGACCAACTGGCAAGGTCACCTGTCCTTGTCCCCAGCCGAGAACCACGGAGGTCACCTGGTGCTTTCGTCTCTGTCCCCTGGAAGCATGAGAAAGGGCAGACACGCTTCCTCCAGTTGGGCCGTCAAGCCAGGGCAGCAGCTTTGTAGAAAGTCTAGGGAATAGAGAAAAGCATCCCCGTCCATCTGCTTTCCATCCTCCTTCCGTCCCCTCTGACCCAAACACACCTTGCACTTCCACCTCGTCGCTCCTGGTCCTTGTCCCAGGTTCACTTTCTCTTCTTCTTCTTCTTCTTACTATTACTATTAGCAGCCGGGGAAAACAACAGTGTCACAGATACCTTGATGCAGAGGGTACTTCTAGGGTATGGAGTATAATTCCCAGAATTGGGGGCAGGGGAAGAAAATGCCCCTGTTGGAATGGTGGGGCTAAAGGCTTCTGGGGAAATGACACCTGCTTCCTCTTCCCCCTCTCACCTGGCCGAGGAGGACCTGGCCGTCTCATAAGCAGGGCACCCTGCGTGTCTCCTCCCCGCGTTACAAATGTCTGCTTCCCGAGATGACAACACAAACCCGCGCTGTTGGTCTAAAGGGCCATGATGATGACATGAACCTGACCAGCCAGGCTAGCGCTGGGCCTGGAGGGCTGCGATGGGATGGAGGCAGGGCAGGGGCAGGTGGTGGTGACAGTGAGTGGGCATCGGCCTCGCTGTGACCCCTCCCACTGTGGCTGCCCGGCCACGTGCAGGTTGATCGATGGCACCAACATCACCACGGAGGATGAGCACATGTGGCTCATCCCCTTCTCGCCGGGGCTGGACCACGTGGTCACGATCCGCTTCGACAGAGCTGAAAGCATCGCGGGCCTGCGCTTCTGGAACTACAATAAATCTCCCGAGGACACCTATCGCGGGGTGAGCCAGGGCCCACAGGCAAGCGAGCTGGACCTTGATGAACAGCCAGCGTGGCCGCCAGAGAGGCACATAAATCCTCGGGAACTTTCCAGAGACAGCACACAGAGCCAGGGGTGGCCTCGGGCGACTGCACAGAAGCCCCTCTGGTTTTCTAGTCTTGGGCAAGGGGAGTCCACTGTAGCCCCGCGCATCCCCCAACTCGGTGTGCTCAACTCTGAGCATGTGGGGCGCCAGGCCTGCACCGTCGGGAGCTGCTTGTTGGTTCCTGGTCGCAGCCTGTGGGAGGCAGGTGCAATGGCTCCCTTGCTAGGGCAGAAAGGCATAGTGATCCCTGCCGGGATAACGCAGCCAGGGCCCCAGGCAGGCCAGCCAGACTAGGGGTGGGCACTCCCGTGACTTCCCATCATGCTCTCCTCTGACTGGAGTGAGCATCCCCAGGTGACCACAGAGAAGTAGGTCTTGGGTCCCTGCCCTGTGCCAGGGCCGCCACAGGCCCAGGCACATGGTGGAAGGGACCTTGGCAGTCAGAAGAGCTGGCTCTCAAGCCACAGCTCCTGCCGCAGCCAGCCAGCTGTGCAGTCCTTGGGGAATGGCCTGATTCCCCTGGCCACTCGCCACCGGACAAAGCCACATCTGGGCTCCTGCAATCCTCCCTCCCATTCTCCTGAAGGGCTAATTTTGCTTGGAACTGCAGCGGCACCCAGGATGCTATAACCTTGAACCTGATCCCAAAGCCTGCAGTCAGAGAAGGCCCGGCCAGCGCCTTCTCAACCCTTCCCACAGCACAGGTGGTAGCTAAGCCACCTCAGACTCTGCCACGAGGGCCAGGCTTTCACAGGCAAATCCTGGCCACCTAGAATGGTGAATGAGCGGCAGAGAGCCAATCCACGTGAATTGTACAACCCCTTAGTAAGCACCTACTTAGACCCTGGGCCCTGAGACACAGAGGCAGATGGGCAGGCTGGCATCTGTGCCATCAGGAGACCCCTGCCGTGACCTCTGAGGAGACTGCTGACTGGCACCCACCCAGAAACAGGCACCAAGTGCTATGAACAGAAAAATGAAGAGGCGGTTCCTGCCGGCCCAGGGGAAGAGTGTAAGCAGAGCACAGGTGGGCTGGTCTGAAGCAGGAACACCTGAGGCTAGCTCTTAGAGAGTGCCAGTGTTATGCCAGCCACAGAATGGGTCAGCCCATCTCTGTGCCCATTCACCAGATTAGGAAGGAGAGGTGCAAGGAAGATTAGTAACCTGCCCAGCCGCCAGTGGCAGGTGTCAGAGCACCTGTACCCGTGTCCATCCTGAGCAAGCCACTACAGCTGGCCAGGCAGGTGGGGCCCAGGTCCATTCCGCCACTTGAAACATGTGGGCCCGAAAATGGACCTGGGTGTTCCTGGTGGCAGGGGCTTACGCTCTCTGCCCAGAGCAGCCCCTGAGGTGGCACGGGGGAGGGGGGGGGGGAGAGTAGAGGGAGACAGTGCCAAGGAGTGGAACGTGGCCTGGCAGCCCCGGGCAGGAAGGGAGACGGCAAGATCCAGCAACACCTGCTCTCGTTTCCCAGGCCAAAATCGTCCACGTGTCCCTGGACGGCTTGAGCATCTCCCCGCAGGAGGGCTTCCTCATCCGCAAGGGCCCAGGCAACTGCCACTTCGACTTTGCCCAGGAAGTGCTGTTTGTGGACTATCTGCAGGCCCGACCGCTGGCGCCCCCAGCGGCCAGGAGGTGAGTGTCCCGCCCGGGGCGTGTGTGCCCCCACCCCACACCCCCAGAGATCCAAGCGCACCACCAAGACGGTGATCAAAGGCCCGGGCTGTCTGTGCCTGCTCCTCAGTCTGTTTGGGCTTCTCCCAGTCTGCAAGCACTTGAAGGTCTTAAATGATTTCTTTGCGCTTCCTGCTGGGAAAAGAGGCCGCAGCCGCCGCCTCCGGGCCAGAAGCACCCGCTGGCCAGCGCAGGCGCGGGCCTGCCTTGCTCCTGTTCCCCATTTAGAAAACCTCCAAAGAGAAACATGAGGCCAGCCTGACATGGCACGGCATCCCTGGGGTTTCTTAGCCCCAGCCTCTGCAACTCCCAAGTTCAAAACCATTTGTAAATGCTGCATTTACTCCTGAAACTCCCCTGATGGTCAAATGCTGCTGCAAGCCAGGCTGGCAAAACTGAATGATTTTTCCCTAGGCTGTAGCCATAGTCGGTCATGGGGAGCTGTCACATTGCCCATGAAACTGATTGGCACCACGAGAGGGCTGGAGGGCACTACACCCAGGTCAGGCAAGGCGAGGGGGGAAGAGGGGCACTGTCCCTCACGGAGTCAGCTCCGTTCATGGAAGTAGGGGATATTCCTCCCATTTTGCAGATGTGTGAACTGAGGCCTCTTGTACTAGACTATGAAGCCAGACTCAGGTCCCCTCAACTATGTGCTCTAGTCCCTCTGGCTCCTGTCTGGTGCTCCTTCCCATCTCAGGGACATGGGCCTGATGCCCCCACCCCCTCTGACCCATCTGGAAGCCTCCCTGCTGCCTCTTCCCAGAGCTGCCTCCTCCTGGAGGCCTTCCCAGACCACCTGCCCAAGGTGACCAGTCTCTCTGTCCCCGGGCCTCTTCCCGCGTGTCACGCAGCTCTTCGCACAGTGTGACTCCTCTTTGTTTAAAGGGGGAAGCTTCGATGAGGGATAGCAAGTCCAAACCCCCCTGACCCCGACAACCCCATTGCCAACGCCTACTAGCAGCTTGGCCTGAATGAGCTACCACACTCCTCTGCGGCCAAGTTCACTGCCTGCAGGGGGCCATGGACTACCTCCTGAACAGGCATGGGAAGTGACCGGCCCAGTGAGTCCACATGGACCAGCTGAGAACCAGACCTCCCAGCACAGCCTGCAGGCCGGCCTTGGCAGTGACGCCCTCTGGTTGCAACCTGTCGCTCCCAGCAGAGTGGGAGCCACACAGACAGAGGGGCCCTTGGCATGCTACGTGTGGTTGACGGCCTCAAAGCCTGCTGCCTCCGGGCAGTGGCTGACTGACCAATGCCTCCAGCCTGTTGGCTTCTTCTTCCCAGAGCTGCTTTTGTCTTTGCAGGCTTGACACCAGCAGCCTGGAACGGGCAAGCATGGACTACGAGGCCCCGCTGATGCCATGCGGCTGTATCCTTCTCCCACACCTTGGGCAGGCGAGGACAGGGCACACTAGCAGTGGCATCCTGGCAGGCTCAGGTTGCAGGAGGCAGCCCTGGGGCCCGACCGGGGCCCTCACTGTCCTGAATGCATCACCAGCATTAACCTAGCCCTCACTGCAGCCATAGCCACCCCCATTTTACAGCTTAAGAAAACTGAGGCCCAGGAAGGCTACAAGACCACACAGCTGGGAAGGAACTGCCTCCAGCCCAGTCCTCACCTGTCCCAGGTCCTCTGGGAGTTCAGGGCTCCATGCCAGCTGTGTACCGGGGACTCAGAGCCACCTGCCACAGCCCACCCTTCCTGAGGCTCATGTGACCCCTTTAGACCCTGCTTGCCAGGAAGGGATGAAGGAGACGGACGGGCTCTGTGTTCTTATCATTTTATAGCCAGGGAAACTGAAGCAGGGGATAGAGCAATGTGCTTGGCGCCATATCCTGGCTACACCCAGAGGGCTCCCCAATCCTGGGGGCCTAGAGGAAGGTGTGGGATTCTCAACAACACTCACGGTAGGGGATTAAAGGAAAAAAGAGTCGGTGCTGCATTTATTTGGATAGGACTTCAGTCTTAGCGAGAGAAAAAAAAAATTCTCTTTCATCCAGAGCCCGTCATCATGGCCAGCGTTTGACTTTGCAGAAAATGCAGCCTCCTCCTTAACCTGCGGTGCCAGTCATTTTCCAGTTCCAGCTGCTGACCAGCTGGGGTGACCCCTATTACATCGGCCTCACGGGCCTGGAGCTGTATGACGAATGGGGGGACAGGATCCCCTTGTCTGAGAACAGTATCCTTTCTCAGGTGGCAGGGTGCTTCTCCAAGACTAGAGAGGGGCTCATGGGCTGCCCCCACTCCAGTGCACACTGTGAGCCCATGAGTTCAGGGTTCATCATATAGTACCCATTTGCTCTTCTAGTCAGATGAGCACTGTTGCACACCCATTTCACAGATGAGGACATGGAGGCTCGGTAACCCACCTCCTGTCCACCCTGAGCTACCCTGCCTCCTCTCTTGCCTGTGTATCCTGCCACGGCCTCCGGTTTCCCCTTCTGCATTGCATTTCCAGTCATCATAGTGACTCACTCCTTGGATGTGCAGCAGCCCCTCTGGACTCCACCAGGGGACATCCAGGGTCCTTCAAGATCTCAGATCCAGCCTGGGTCACAGAGGGTTTTGTGCCCATTTTACAGAGACAAAAACAGGTTCAGAGAGGCCCTGGAGTCCTCATGGCCCAACCAGAGCTGGATCTCTGGGTGCGCCCAGGAGGGAGGGGGTCCTGGCACAGTCCGCATGCATCCAGCCACTTCCTCACAGCAGCTCACCCTCACTCCTGCCTCCGGCCAGGTCCCTGAGCTGCCACACCCCCAGCCAGCGCTTAGCTGCAAGGACTCCTCCCCCTTATCCTAGTACCTGGCTGCCCCCAGGTGGATGGCCACGTGCCCAGGACTCCCGCATTCCCCAGAACATGTCTCATACTAGCAGTCCCTTGTAGCAGCAGGCCTGCCAGCCCCCTGGTCCTCCTCACCTGCAGCAGCATGCACAGCTCTGGTTACAGCCTCCTAGATGCCACCCCAGACATTGCCGCCTTCCCAGACAGCGTGAACTCGCTGGAGGGCGTGTGCGGAGACGTTCGCACGCCCGACAAGCTCATCGACCAGGTGAACGACACCAGCGACGGCAGACACATGTGGCTGGCTCCCATCCTGCCCGGCTTGGTGGGTTCCTGGTGGGCTCAGGGACCATCCTGTCACGTCGCTGGCAATTGGCAGAGGGGTTAGGAGGTGGTGGTGGGGCGCACCTGATGGGGTTGCTGTCCCTGCCAAGGCCCCTGTAAGCCTTTGCATCCAGGCAGGAAGGTGACCATACCTAGAGGGTGGAAGGGCCACAGAAAGGCTCGCACGTCTGCCGACGCCTGCAGCCGTCTCTCTCCCGGGCTCCTTTCCTGCTGCCACCTGTGCCCCCTCCCTCCCCTTCACCCCACCTCTGTTCCTTCCTGACGTCCCCTGACCCATGGTGGCCATACAGCCCTCCCTCTGGTTCCAGATCTGCCTGGCCAGCACCTCCCCTGGGCTTGCCCAGTTTCTCAGCCCTTGGACCCCCGTTGTCCATGCGGCTTCACTAGAGGCCCGGAGGCCACACAGAGGCAACTTAGCTGTGATCCATCAGGACACCCCCAGCCTCTCACCCAGGCGCCACAGCACCCTTGACTTGTCCCTGGTCCACTCACATGACCATGCTGGGGGACATTTCCCCTCAAACACTTGCAAGCCCACCACTGAGTGTTCATCATAGCCCCCAGCCCCAGCATGGCCGCAGATGGTGCCACCTAAAGGTGGGTACCACTGTCTGGAGCAGGAAGGTCTCTGGGTGGGGCTTTCGCCAGCTGCTGTCACACTTACGCCACCCTCAAGCACCTGCGTAAGCCCCAAGGGCGTCAGAGTTTGAGGGTCTTTGTCTTGACTTTTCATTGTTCCTATGGCCCCCTCAGATGGGTTCCCCACTCTCCGCAGTCCATCACGATCCCTCCACTCAAGGCAGACCAAAAGCAGCCACAGGCCCAGGGACCACACGGGCGGGGGGGGGACCCCTGATATTTAGAGCCTTGAGCGAAGGGAAAGTGGGACACAGGGAGGCCAATGGAGGCTGTGGGGGCCTCCTTCCGCAGCCACCCACTGCCACAGCCGTTCTTTCCTTGTCCAGCACAGCAGGTTCAGTGTCTCAAGCTCAGCTTTCTGTTGATGAGAAAGGGCAGCCAGAGGTCAGACCCATGCAGGTTCTGGGGGCAGGAGGCAGGCGGGACCCTCCCTTCGGCCCGCGGACCCCCAGCCTGTGTCTGGGCCTGATCTAGCAGAAAACCTAGTGCAGTCCCAGCTCCTATGCTGGTATTCAAATGAGGGCCATGCCAAGGCCCCGAGAACACAGACCCTCCAAGAGCCAGCTCAGCTGTTTGCTGGAAACGCAGCCACACGTGCTCTGACTCGAGATGGGCTGGCAGGAGATAAAAGACAGCCGGGACTCCGGGCCTGACCACGTGGGCAGCACCCGCCTCAGGTGCCTGCCGGACCCTGCCCACCTGCCCATCCCCACCCAGCAGCCCCCCGGCTCAGCCAAGGGCTTCTGTGAGCCAAGGGCTTCTGTTTCCAAACAACGCCTGCTTGCCTCCTGTGCTGCACCCCGACAGGTGAATCGTGTTTATGTGATTTTCGATCTGCCTACCACCGTGTCGATGATCAAACTGTGGAATTATGCGAAAACACCCCTTCGAGGGGTGAAGGAGTTTGGCGTAAGTACTTATTAGCTGGGATTTTTTTTTTTTTAGATAATTATACTCATTGGTAATTAGACTGCTGGCAATTACCATTTGTCGCAGTTTGATTGACTTCTCTCTGTTGCAACCTTAGACACCAGGGGGCCTGCTCCTCCTCCCGGGAGCTGTAGCTGGAGAAATTGCCACCCCACTGTGAACCCCAAGCTCCCCCTTCAAGGGGCTTCTCTTTTGTTGCCTCGCTTCCCCTTGGGGGACTTAGAGTTGTTAACAGGTGGCTCCTCAGCTTTGTCATCTACAACACGGGGCCAACAGCACTGCGTCCTTTCTTGATGCATGCAGAGCTGAAGTCCCGCAGGTCTGGGACCTGACGGGCACCTGGTGGCAACACCTGTCTCCCAGAGGGGAGGGCCCTCTGGTCGGTACAGGGGGACCCATCCATCAGCCCCGGTGCTGTGTCCGTCCAGCTCCTGGTGGATGACCTGCTCGTGTACAACGGGATCCTGGCCATGGTGAGCCATCTGGTCGGGGGCATCCTGCCCACGTGTGAGCCCACGGTGCCCTACCACACCATCCTGTTCACCGCGGACGCGGACATCAGTCACCAGGAGAAACACACCAGCATCGGGTGAGTCTCCGCCCACGGTCCCGGCAAGAGTGGACGACGGGCACACAGGCCAGGTGGGGCCTGATGGAATCTTCTGGATCTTCCCCTCCCCACACCCGCAGTAACCAGGTGGAAGACCAGGATGTCCAGATGATGAATGAAAACCAAATCGTGACCAACGCCAAGAGGAAGCCAGGCGCTGTGGACCCAGGTCAGCCTCTTGGCTCTGCCAGCCCCGCCCACACACACACCCCATCTGCCCTCAGGCCCCTCACCTCCACCTGGAAGCCTTCCCAGTGGGTGGAGAGCAATGGGAGCAACCGGTGATCTGCCTGCAGGCCCAGCTGTGGCCTCCTGTGCAGCTGCAAAAGGGGAAAGGCGGTCAGAAGAGGACAGTAGGATGCCAAGGCCAGGGCTTCCTGAAGGAGGTGACCCTGGAGCTGGGCTGTGAGCACAGGCCTGAGGCATGCCAAGGGGAGGCTGCTGCAGGTGGTGGCCTGGGCAGCTACCCACACCAGGGGTTTTCCCGCCAAGGCCAGGGAGCATCTTGATGCCAGGGCCCAGCCCAACCCCTCTGTTCTGCCCCGACAGCCTTACGCCCCAAAACCTGCATAAGCGCGAAGGAGACAGGGAGACGGTGGCGGTGCTGACCTCCAGGCTGGAGCAAGAGCGGATCTTGACAGCATCTGGTGTCCTCTGTCGCCGGTGGCCAGGGGCCGTGAGAACCCCGCGGGGTGAGGGGGGAGCCCGCTGGGAAGAAGGACTACACTGTACAGGGCTTCTGGGTTCCTCCCCTTCTGCCTCTCCTGTGCAACGCAGCACGCAGCCGCACTTGGGCCAACAGCGGAGGTGGAGTGTTGTGGGGCCAGGGAGGGGGGACTCTACCCAGCATCCTAGATCCCAGAGCAGGTGCTAAGAACAGGAAGAGCACTCGCATGCGCGCGGGCCCCAGGGGCTTGCCTGCAGAGGCCCCCAAGGATGGAAGCAGTGCACGGCACGCGCGCGCACGCAAACACACCACATACGCGCGCGTGCGCGAACACACTCGCACCGCCTCCTTCCGGGGCTCAGAGAGTGACTGTATTTCTGTCCCAGGTTCTGGAATTTATCCCCAGGCCACTTGAGAAGGACTGGACCCCGTTGGAGTGGGGCGCTTGTCCTGTGTGGGTTCCTGCCTTGGGTGTGTGTCCTGGGCATCTGTGAACCAGAGGCCTGCAATCATCCTGTCGCCGGGTCTGGAAGTGGTGGCCAGGTGGCTGTATCCCCGGACCTCCCTCTCTCCACATACGGAGCGGAGCACAGTGTTGGAGCACTGCACCCCACGCCCTCCGACCCAGCCGCCCCACCTCCCCTTGCACTTCAGCTCTGGAGAAAATCACCCTCATTGTCCTTACTGCTAGGCCCATCACCGATCCCGGATCCCTTCCGATCCGATCTGAGCCCCCCTTGACTCGGGGAGCCCTGTGAGTGTTGCGGGGTGAGGGGGCGGCGGGTCCTGGCTGGGGTATAGGGTGGCAGAGAGGAAGGGGTCTCCCCTCCCCCACCTGGTAGGAACTAGCGTCTACCGCCCCAGCCCAGCGAGGGCCCGCGCGTATCTATTTCCATCTCTGTAACAAGCTCGGATCAGGGACCTAATTGGTTTCCCAGTGGTGGGTAATTTCTCCTTCCAAATATTAATCCGTTGTTTTGCTGGCGCGCAGCCCGGCCCGCCGCCCCTGCGCTGTACTCGCAAGGCGAGCTAGTGCGTTCGCATGCAGCCGAGAACCCCGGCAAATACTTTATGAGCTTTGCAGATCGCACGGGCGCACGCGCGAGTGGGGCCATGCAAATACCCTGTTTCGTGGAGGCGCGGACCCGGGGTGAGGATGCGAATTGTTTCTGCTGGAGAAGATCCATCATTTGCGAAGCTTCCCGGGCTCCCACATGTCACACCCCACCCCTTCAGCAGAGGATCACAGCGGTTCTTGGGAACCAAACTAAGGCAGTGCTTTTACGGGGAACTGTCGTCCTCCACCCAACACCCTTCACCCTCTCCCCACTAAGTGGGGTTGGGGGGGTTGGCAGGGCCGACCAGGTTGGATCTGTGGGGGTCAGCAGGGCTGGCCTGCATGGACCTGGGCTCCCACTTTCTCAGCTGGTTTTGCTAATAAGTGTATGGATGTACAATTTAGGAAAGGAGGCAGGAAAAAACCCCTATACGGGCATTAACTGTAACATAAATTTCTATTTTTTTCTCCTCTTGCAAAATCAATAAAAGATGTTATTAAGGCAACAGCCTGGCGTGCTGGAATCGGGGTCAGATGGCAGGAGCCCATGCTGTGTGTGGGAGCCCTGAGTCAGCGATTGGCGCGTTCGGGCGAGGCTGTGCGGGGGTCTGCTGCCAGCCCCCTTCCCACCTGCTGAGCAGGCACATCTTCATGTCTCCTCCATCCCCGTGGGGCGGGCGCACTCACCCTCCTCGAAGAGGGAGCTGGAGCCCAGGCAGGTGGCATGGCATGCCTAAGGACTCACAGCATCAAAAGCCATTGGTGCAAAGAGCCTGGGGACGCTGGGCTAAGCCTGTGGGTTTCCTGTCTCCTGGAGGGGGTCCTGGTCCCAGATCCTGAGCTTCCTCCCTGCTGCTACTCCCCGCCATCCCCTACCCGTGTTCCCCTTTTGCAGGCTAATTGATGACAGGGGGCAGAGCTCATGGCTTTTGGGTGAAGTATGCCTTGAGGAGAAACGAAACTGCAATGAGAAGGGCTTTATCACTGGCTAGCAGGGAGCTTTGGGGAACCCTAACTAGTCCCTGCTCCCATTACCAGTGAGAGGAGAGCACCCCTCCATCTGGCAGGCTAGGCCCCAACCCCAAGTGTGCAAGGGCCTTCCCTGAGCCCTGACTCCCTCCAAGAGAGCGAGAGGGGATGTCGTTGGGGGCGGGGCTCCCCCAGACAGAGCAGATGCGCTGGGTCCCCAGGGGCTGGATGCTGGGGCAGGGAGCAAAGCTGCCCGGCCACCAGAGCCACACATAGCTGGTGGCCACAGTCCTGGCCTGTAGGCTAGCACCTTCAGGTCCAGCCACTGTCTTTATTTTTCACTCCTCGTGCACAGTACCTGCCTCTTGGGCGGGGGGGGGGAGGGGGAGCATCAGCCCCTCCCTTGCAGCCTGCCTCAGCCTTGTGGGCTTTCCCCTCCTGCATACCCTGAAACTCCCCTCGCCCTGGGGGTGGCGTGGTTCCCTTGCTCGGCTGACCTTGCCCGTCTAAACAGCATTAAATTCAAGTCCTCGGTGACCTTGGCCTCCTATGAGATTCTGCCCTGGAAGTCAGCATCTCTGGTCCTCTGGGCAAGATGGAAGAAATCTGGCAACTGGGCCCCACCCCCCCAGGAGCTTCCCCAGGCTGTGCCAGCCCTGCCCACCCCTCCTGTGCACACACACACCGGCCAAGATTTCCCCCCACAGGATGGCAGTGAGGGGTAGGGCAGAGGGGAGTGCCTGGGCCAGCATGCACAGGCTGCAGTCACAGGTCTGTCCTGAGGCCTAGAGGCTCGGGCGGTGTGGCTGGGGGATGAATTGTGGCCTAGGAAGCAGTCAGTGCAAGGAGCATGCGCTGGGCCGCTCTGGGGACAGGCAGGGGCCCCACAGTGAGTTCCCAACTGTCTGGCAGTAAATCCCTGCGCCTCTCTCCTCATCTCCTGGGAGATGGCTTGTCCCCATGACTGATGGTCCTGCCCTGTGTGGGGCCCAGTCCCCTCCAGCCCAGGAGCGGGGGCGGGGCAGAGATGACAGTACACAGGGCTCAGCCTGTTATGCCTCCTGCATGGTTGGGGGGCGGGAAGGGCAGCGTCTACCTTCTACAGAACAACCAAGCCTGGCAGCAAGGTCGCTGGTGTCAGGGACCCATCCCTCCTGTCACTTGGCCCCAAGTCGCTATAAGGCTGCCCCTTCCCAGAGCCCCCAAGCCTCCATGCCACAGGAAGTCCCCCAGGCCTGCCCACCCCCGCCGCCACACCAACTTTCCCAAAATCAAAGCCTTTTCCAACAGTTCTCTCAGCACCTGCCTGTGGCCCCCATGGTGGAGCTCCCCAACAAGGAGACCTGTCACTGCTGTATGCGGTCACACGGCTTCCCTCCCAAGCCCAGGGCCTTTGCCGAGCCTGCTGGCTGCCCCGGCCCCTGGGTGCACGTCAGCTCCTCCCTGGGTCCACCTGCGGACCGCACCTGCTGTCTCATTGCGAATTACTTGCATAACCTCCACCTGCTCGGTGGGATGATGCATACAGCCTGTGAGGGTGCAGGCAGTGTCTATGCAATTGCCTGCACAGCCCGCTGCCTGGCAGGGGGCACTCCTTCCTTCCCAGGACTCAGTTCCTGGCTGCCTGAGGCCCAAGGCAGGTTCAGGGTAAGGACAAGAGTGGAAGCTAGCCCAGCTTGGTGTACAGCCCCTCTCCCAGGGCCTGCTTCCCTGCCCCGCCCCCCAAGCCAGCATGGTTCCCAGGCCTGGCGCAGTGGACGAACAGCCATGAATCAAGCTGACGATTCCATTACCAGGGGGAGTTGAGTGTGTGGCAGCCAAGAGCAGACAGGGATGCCCGACCAGGAAGACTGCAAGTCTGGCTGCTTCCAGAGGCTGCCTGCCAGCATCCCATGGTCTTTTCTTTCCCATCCAGGCCTCTGGGTATCACCCAGCTCCCCCTTTTCCACCTCCTTGTCCTCGTCCCCACCTTCAAACCAGCCTTGCTCCTCTCCGGTTCATACAGTAACATTCACTCCCCAAAGCAGTCTGCAGTGTCCTGGGGCACCCACTCAGGTGGAAGTGCTTCCTCTGGTCTAACCGGCAGCCTTCCTGCTGCACGAGATGACAGCTTTCTGCCCCGTCCCCCCTCCCCCCACCTCCAGCCAGCGTCCAGCAGCAGCCCCCGCTCTCCGCAATGCCTCCCCATCTTCATGTCCCTCCTGGCCATGGCCCTCCTCTCCCCCTGTCGCGTAATCACCACTCAAAGAGCATTTATTTCGGAGTTTTCTTTAAGCCAGCCTGCTGCTTTTTCTTTTTTTTTTTTTTTTACTGAGATGCCTATTTTGGCTTTATCCTAAGCAATATTGTCTGAAATCGTAGCACTGATGCGCCCGTTATACATTTTTTTCTAATACACATTTACATAAACACAACTATTAAAATAGATGAAAACGTTGCCTGTGTGTCAACCGTAACCATCTCCTGGCCCCCTGTGATCCACACGCACCGGCTCCAGGAGACCGAGGGGGTGGGAAGGGCCAGGCGATGGGAGCTCATGGGGCCTGCCTGCTCCAGCCCTGTTGTGCCAACTCCTGAGACCTCTAACTCTCCCCAAGGCTCTCCTACAGCTGCAGGGAGTGGGTTCCCAGTGCACACTGAATGAATGCTAAAAATACCACTCATCCGATCCATCAGTGCAAGAGTGAATGAATGAGTGAGTGAACAAATGAATGAGTAAGCACCTCCACCTCGTGAATCCCCTGGACACCTGAGACTTAACGCTTTGGAATCACCATCTGAGTTCCCCGCATAGCGCACATTCCATCACCATGGAGTTCATGACCAGCGTGCCCCTCCCTGTTCCTCCTGCACTATCCCCAGCCCAGGGCCATCCAGCATGGAGCCCAGCGAGGGCTGCACAGGCAGCGGGGCCTCCACTCAGCCACCAGCCTCCTGGAATGGTCACCTTGGCATGTCCCTCCCTGTGGGAGCACCTGGCCTCACAGCTGCCCACAGCAGATGTTCAGCTTCTTAATGAGGCTGGACGCAGACCCTGCTGGCCTTGACTCCACCAGGGACCTCCGTCCGGCCCATCCCTGCCCTCCACCCCTGCCACCTGGGCTCTAGGACGGTCCCATTGTGTCCCTCTCCTGCCCTTTGGTGCAGCAACCCTCACGTCCTCCTCTAGTTTTACCTTAAGTGCTGTTTGCCCTGCCCGCTGCTCTGCTGTTCTGTGCCCCTCCCAGCAGGTGGGTGCCTGCACCCCCAGCAGGTGCCAGCCCAGACCTGCACAGCCTTCACTGCCCCTGTCCCTTCACTGTCACCAGTGAATGCTGCCTAGTGCCAAGTTCCCTGCAAGCCCTTCACCTGCGCTAACTTTTCTCCCCCTTACTGCAGCTTGAGGAGGTTGCTGGTGAGGAAACGAGACTTGCCTAAATGCAAGAATAAGGAGAGCAGAATGGGAACCCAAGAATCTGCTGCCCTATCCCCCCAACACTGGGCACACTGAACTACGGTTGCTTGTCCTGCCTATCTGGGAGTCCTGTGACCACAGACACCACATCTGGGTGTCTCGGTTTCCATCTCAATGCCTGGTGCAGAGGAGGGGGTGGCAAATCCCACGAGCATATATACGGGCAAGCAGGGGAATGGCTGAGTGAGGAGGGTGAGTGGTGCAGGGAGAGATAACCAATGGATGCCTGACCCAGGACAGAAAGAGGCCGCACGAGAAGGCAGATGGATCAGTGGATGGATGCCGGTTAATGGATGGATGGACAAGTGGACAGATGGGTGGATATGGAAGTATGCATATGTGGATGGAAGGAAGCATGATGAAAGAGACGGATGTGGGAATGGATCGATGGAGGAAGGAGAAAAGTTCTAGAAATTCCTCGTGGGAGAGAACAGAATCTGGATTTAGGGCTCTTGGTTCTAACACTAGCTCTGCCACCACCAGCAAGTCGCTGAGTCTCTGGGGCTGCCCACTCCCTTGGTGGCTCCCTAGCCACCCAAGCCCTGGAATCTTAAGTAGAGACACAGGGTACAGCATGCCCTTCCCCATACCACAGGGTCAGGCTGCAAGGGGGTTTTCTCCATCCTTACAGGACCCATTTCCCATCTTCTCATCCACACTCAGGAATCTGAGGCAGGCCTTCCAGCATACATCCATGCTGCCTTGCCCATCACCCTGCCAGGCAACATCTTCAGGCTCCTCTCTGCAAGCCTCCCACCGCTGGCCCCAACCTCAGCACACTCTGGAGGGACAGTGAGAGGGCAGCCTTAAGCCCAGCAAACACCTGGGCCTCCACACGCCACCAGACAACAGGATCAAGAAGCATTTATTGAGCCCCTGCTGTGTGCCTGCTGTGTGATCTCCTGCTATGCCAGTGTGCTGTTCCTTCCTCAAACACACACACAAGGCACCTCCTCAGCTTCCTGGCGGCTCGTGGGTGCCTCGGCCACACTCAGTGACTAGCGTCCATGCCCCTCCTGGTGTCACCATTGTGCCCGGCGGGCTCTGCCCTTGATAGCGTCAAGAGTTCAGGCAAGGCTGCTTTGGTGAGGTCTCTGTGCAGCCAGGTAAAGCCCTTGGTCTCATCCTGGCCCCCCACGTCCAGGATTGCCAGGCAGGCGGGCAAGACAAGTCTGGCCGAGTTCCATAGCACATAGGCCAGGCTTCCAGGGCGCCGGGGGGGTGGTGCCAGCCACAGCCTGAGACCCAGCAAGCAGACAGGGACGTCTGTCACACCCAGTGCCCCAGCACCCAGCACTGGTGACTCAGCTCTGGTGCCGCTTCCTGTGCCGAGCCCCGGGGCCAGGAGTCCCCCATGTGCGGCTGGTGACCTGCAAGAGACAAGGAGGTCAGAACCAACAGCCCCTTCCTCCATGCATGCCCACTGCACAGCCAGTGCCCTGCCCCTTCTCCAGGTGTCCACTCACCTATCCATCAGCCACCAGTCACCATCAACTACCTGTCCACCATCAGCCACCATCACACATACTCCCCATCAGCCCATCCGCATCCACATCCCGTCTCTCCCCTACCCCATTAGCCTCTCCCCCTCACCTGCCCACCTGCTGGCTCAGCAGCATACCTGCAACAATCACCTCTGCCAGGACTGCTCCCATCCAGTGACCAGCCCACCCATGTGTCCACTACTCACACGCTCCCGCACTCTCCAACCCCCAACTACCCACAGTCCTAAAGCCCATTCATCTCTCCTCACCCACCACGCACCTGCCCACCCTTCTACCCCCTATAACACACCCACTGCTTCCCTGTCCACGCCCACCTGCCTTGTAACCCCGAAAGTGCCCAGATCACCCCTTCTCCATGTCTGTGCGGCCTTCCTGTCTCCTGTAACATCAGCTCAGCCATCCAACAGCCTACCCCCTGGCGCCGTCCACCTGCTCACAGGCACCTGCTCCTGTCACCTATCCATCATTTACCTTCTAACCTTCCTTTCAGCTGCCCACACACTGCCTTGGCCAAAGCACCCAATAGCACGGAATAGGCAGTCCACATCTGCCCAGCCAGCATCCAGTCCAGCTGCCCATCCCTCAGCCCTCAGTCCACCTTCCAAGCACTCACTGTGTTCAAGGAGCTAAGGAAGGCTGGAAAGCTGACTTCTCCTGGCCCTGGGACTGTCATGGTCCCCAGGAACAGTGAGCCTGGCCCACCCCTACCAGCTGCTGCTCCCCTGGCCTCAGTAAGAGGAAGGGTCAGCAAGTTTTTCCTCCTTCTTTTTGCCCCTCCTCCTCCTCCAGCATTCTCTGTCCAGGGTCAAAGCCGATCCCATCTCCCATTGGAGACCTATGCCTAGATCTTGCACCTACTGTGAAAGCCTCAAGACCCAGATCAAGTTCCACATCCCCCAGGAAGCCTCCCAGCCCACCTCCAGGGATGTCTTTATCTGAGCACCTGTCCCAAGCATACTGTGCTCCAGGGTCAGCCCCTGTGCCTGGGAGAGCAATGGCTGGGGCCACCGCCTGGGGGTGCTGCATGCGGGATTTGTGGGGGTGGAAACAGAAAGGAAAACCCAGCTCCGGTGCTGTGGTGTAGTGCATAGAGCTGCCACCTGGATGTCAGCATCTCATATGGGGCTATCTCAAGTTCCGGCTGCTCCGCTTCCAATCCCGCTCCTGCTAACGCAACTGGGAAAACAGCGGGAGACAGCCCAAGTGCTCAGACCCCTGCATCCTCATGGGGTGGAGGGGCAGGACCTGGAAGAACCTCTGGGTTCCTGGCTTCAGCCTAGCCCAGGCCAGCCCATTGCAGCCATTTGGGAAGTGAACCAGTGGGTGGAAGACCTCTCTCTCTCTCTCTCTCTCTCTCTCTCTCTGATACCTCTAAATAAAAGGTAAAGGAAAAGCCAATGAGAAGGATGGCAGGTGGGCCAGGATGGGAGAGAAGGGGTGTGAACAAGCTCCGCCAAGCTCACAGGGCTTCATCTTTGCAGCAAGCCCGGGAGGCAGTCCATACCCATTGTCCAGATGAGAGAGCTGAGGCTCGGCGAGTGCTGTTGTTGCCTCAGCAGTCACGACAATGGTGGAGCTCACAGGGGTCATCTGTTCCCAGTCCTAATTTCAGCGTGAACAGCAGTGTGTTCCGTGCTGTTTGGGGTTCCTGCCATGCATGCCCCTGGGCGCCCCCACGTGCTCATCACACCTTAGGGTCAGACGCTTGGAGGTGTGGGGTCCACAGGCAGCCCAGCACCTGCTTGCATCCCTCCAGGGATGGAGGGATCATTACCGTTAACTTCCATCCCAAGGCAACTTGTGTGTGGCCAAAGTCTTTCTGATGATGGGACCAGATGGAAACAGGGAATGAAAAGGTGAGTGTGAGAGTGTGTGTATGTGTGTGTGTGTAAGTGTATATATGAATGTATGTGTGAATGTGTGTTTATGGGTGTATGTGTGAGCTTGCGTGTGAGTGTTAAGGCTTCTTTTTCCTTCTGTTTTTAATATTCCTTAATGCTAACATTTTGCACATTTTACTGTATTTTTAAAGGAGTGGGAAACATTTTCACAAACATTCTGGAATCATTTGGCCTTAGGAAAAAAAAAAGACAACGTTTGTTTTGGCCCCAGTGACTAAAACAGTTGCAATCCTTGGAAATGCTTGCTGCCAAGATGAAGGTGCTGGGCTTTTAACAATTTTTTTTTAATCTGGAAGCAAATATTGGGTGTGCAGACAGGTTTGATTGCTTTCCCCAAGTGAGCGGAGCCACTTTTCTGGCTGTTGAGGGGTTTTCATGGTGGAGGGTTTATTGGAAGCCAGAGAAAGCAGATTTTATAAGCAAAATCCTCTGGCCTGGCCTGCCTGGAGTTGACGCCATGCTCCCTGTCCATCCAGATCTGGAGGTCACGCGCTAAAGACTGGGCCTTCCCCATCTTCTTTGGCCTCCTAGAAGCGGTTCAGGGCCCAGAGCCATTTACAGAGTGTGCAAAGGGAATCCCCACCAGCCCTTCCACTTCCCTCCTTGCCAGCTCCCCATGTGAGGGCCAGGAGAAAAGGGGCTGTGCACTAGGGACCCCCAGCCCTGGATGCCCTCTGGGCCCCAGCAAATCACCGAAATCCACTCCAGCCGCTCGCTGCACCTGCTGCCATGCACCTGAGCTGCTGTCAGCTCAGGGCTTCCAGAAGTTCAGAGAAGTCAAACGTGTAGACTTCAGAATGAAGCCTCCTGGCTAATAAATACCGATAATCAAGAGGATTTTTTTTAATTTATTCAAAAAAAGTATGATGATCCTCAAAAAGTTTGTGGAAAATATAGATTAGGAAAAAAGCTATGCGTGGATTTCAAATTCTCTCATACCAAAATATGTTTATTTATTTGAGAGACAAAGAGCCAGAGAAAGACGGACAAGCAAATGCCTCATCCAAGGCCTGCAGTGGCTTAAGGGCAGGCGCTGGGAGCCAGGGTCTCCATCCCGGTCTCCCATGGAACTACCAGGGGCCCAGCAACCCAGGACGTCTCTCCCAGGGTATGGATATGCAGGAAGCTGAAGTCAGGGGCTGGCACCAGGACCTGAACCTGGGCACCCTGACACCCCACATTCACCCCTAAACTGATCTTTTTTTTTTTAATTAATTAATTAGATGGAGAGAAGGAGATACAGAGAGAAAAGATCTTCTGTCCGCTGGTTCACTCCCCACATGGCTGCAATGGCTGGAATTGAGCCAATCCGAAGTCAGGAGCCTCTTCCAGGTCTCCCCTGTAAGTGCAGGGTCCCAAGGTCCTGGACTATCCTGCACAGCTTCCCCAGGCCACAAGCAGGGAGATGGATTGGAAGTGGAGCACTCAGGACACAAACTGGCACACATATGGGATCCTGGCACTTGCAGAGAATTAGCCAATTGAGCCATCATGCCAGCCCCCTAAAAACTGATCTCAGAATTAAGTTTTCCCACCAACCTGCTACTTTTCTTTTTTTTTTTTTTTTTTAAAGAGAGAGAGACTGACAGCCCTCCCGGTGACTGGTTCCCTCCCTAAATGCCTGCAAGCCTGGAACTCCATCCAAATTCCTCTCGTGGGAGGCAGGAGCCTGAACCCGCTGCCTCCAGGGTGTGCTGCAGCAGAAAGCGGAGCAGGACCAGGGCTCTAACTCAGATATGGATGTCCCCCTGTGGCATCTCAGCCCCTGTGCCAAGTGCCCACCCCTTTCCATAAATGTTTTGAAGAACTCTGGGAATTCATGCCATCCGTGGGCCCCATGGCGCCTCCTGGGTCAGACTCATCCCTCCCCCACCCTCCTGGGGAGGGGTGTCAGTTTAATCCTACTCCTAGCTGCTATGCCGTGAACTTCACCCTCTGGAAAGAGCTGGGATGGGGAGACTGAATGACAGGGAAAGCAGCTTAGGGCTGGCACTAAGGCAGTCTGGTTTGGAAATAAGCAGCAAGTTAGTGATACTCAAAATGTCACCTCCTAAGTCGTGGCACCCTGACTGCCTCTCCTATAGTCGGCTGTGCTCTGTACACCTCCAGAGATGCCACTGTACTGGGACATGCGTTTCTTTGTTTCCTTCTTGCCTCCTCTGTGGTTCTGGGTGTCATAGCAGGACAAAGACCTGTGTTGTTTGTGGTTGCATCGATACCATGTGGCACAGCTCCCGGAGTGGTACTGGGAGTGCCTATCTGATAAATGGACAAAGGAGGGAGGCCCAGGAGGGAGAGTGAGTTTATGTGGGATCCACCAGGACAGGAAAGTTAGCCATTGTGGTCAACTGGTCAGGTTTTCTAGTCTACCTTGTCGGGTCTTCTGGTCTACCTAATCAGGTTTTTCTGATCTATTTTGAGGTATCTATCATGGGTTTCTCTTCCATTGGAGTCCACTTTTTGGAGATTCCCTCATTACATCCATAACATTCATCTCTTTCTTACACTTGGGCACTTAACCCTCCACATCTCCCCAGAGCCAGGGACTCCTGTTTCCTTTCCTGAACTTGTGTTGGGTATAGCTGGATGCCGACTTCCTTCCACATTGGGAGCTGGATCTACAGTCATGAGCAGGTCACAGCCCTGCCCTCTGGGTACCCATGGCACCAGGGAGGGACACAGACACATGTCACCCAAGGCCCAGGGAGGTTAGTCTCCAAGCATTCTGTCTCCCAGGACAGCCTAAGGCAGACGAACACACCCACCTCTGCCAGGGGCAGGGCACACCATGGCAGACGTCTGAGCTTGCCGAAGCTCCCGATCATACGGGTAGGGCTTGTGCTTTGCCGGTGGAAGGGAGGTGGGAGGGTCCCTTCAAGCAGAAGGAAAGGGTGTGAAACAGGTTCTTGGCAGGCAGATGGGATTTCTCAGGAGGTGCGAAAGACACAGCCGGGTTGTGGCTGCGGGGAGGCGAGCAAGGGGCTGGCAAGAAGATGGGGGAGGAGTGGAGAGCTCTCCTGGCACGAGCAGCCGGGTGCCAGGTGCAGGAGCCCTAGCAGGGGGCCTGCCGATAGCAGACCTATGTGATGGCAGTGCCTGGCTTGCTCCCAACTGAGATGGTGACTGTGCAAGGAAACCTGCCTCTCCAAGTGCTTCTCAGCATCAGCTACACCTGGGGCATCACTGCCTTGGCACAGAGAGAAGGCAGTGCCTGAGCTTGGAGTCGCACCTGCTTGGACCCCAGGACCAGTGAGCTGGCTTCCTGCAGCCCCAGAGGCCTCATGTGACCCAGAACTCGTATCTCACGAGGACATGGGTGACCTACACCATGCTGGGGCCACCACGGTGAGTGTGACAATGGGGTACCTGTCCTCCTGACTCTCCTACTCAAGACTGGAAATCAACAAGTTAGCACAGAAGGGAGTGGTCGGAAGCAAGGAGCTGGGAGAAGAGGGGGCCTACACTGGAGGGGCCAACGCGGTGACTGACGCCCAGCAGGACGGGAAGGCGACTTGCAGGACGGGTAGGCAGTGGCTCCTACCTGGAAGATGCTGAATAGTGTGCAAGGAGCAGGGACCTGCCAAGGACGGGGCTCACCTGGGAGCAGCACCTGAGGGACCTGCTAGGAACAGGGACTTCCAGGCCCTCCCAGACCTCCTGGGCCGGAAATGCGGAATGCCAGGCTGGGCTTCCCGGGGGACTCCCATGCATGCGGATGTTGGTGTCTGCCTCTCAGCCCCCACTCCAGGGTCTCCGCTGTCTCCAGGCTGCGTGCCTGTCCTGCACTCCTGGCCAGTTGGCTTGGGTCTTTATTTCCAAAATACTGTCTGTTTCCATTTTAATCAAGGGAGCAACTCGAGCAGCACACTCAATAGAATTGGATTTTTGATCTAAGAAAATCGCCAGGTGGTTCTGGGGGTCAAAGTCTCTTCTGAAATCCCCTCCCCACCCCCACTTCCGACTTCACTACCACCTACCCTGGTGCTATTTCGGGGACAGCAGTGGCAGCAAGGGACCTGTCTAGACAGAGGGCCCAGAAGTCAGCTCTGGGCCTGACGAGTGACAGGCCTGGCCAGGCCCAGTCTTCCAGACACACCTGGCCTAATCAAAGCCTTGTCTTGGGCAATGAACTTGACAGTTGCAATCAGCTGCAAACCCCAGCGGCCAGGGGGAGGGGAGCTACAAGCACCTGGACCATATGGCAGCAGCGTTTCCGTCAGATGTCACATCTGATGTGCTCCCGAGGTAGCTGGCAGCGCTGCAGAGCCCCAAAGGCAGACCTCAAAAGCAAGTGCATTCTCAAGGAAAGAAACGTGGCAGAATTCATATGACAGTAGCCCAAGAGAAAAAAAGAGAAAAAAGTAGCAAGTTTGGGGGCAGTTAAGAGAAGCTCAAGTTTATGTAACCATTTATATAAAAGTGGTAGCTCATAGGGGAGGCACGAGGAATTTGAAGGTGCAGAGCAATGATTGAGTACCTGCTGTGTACAGTAACAGCTCCAGGCTCTTAAGAAAATGGACATGAGTAAAACAAACTTGCGGGGTGGGGCAGATGGTAAAAGCCAACAAGGAAATGTCTTCCTGGAGTCTGATTCCTGCTCTCTTCCTAGAGTCTGATTCCTGTGTCCTGGGAGGCAGCAGGGGGTGTGGTTCAGGTGCTTGGGCACCTGCCACCCACATGGGACACCCAGATGGAGTTCCAGGCTCCTGGCTTCACCCTGGCCTGATGTAGCGACTTGAGGAGTGAACCCAGACAAGCCCCAGCTGCCTCTTTCCAGCCTGGATTGTCTGTCCAATCTGCAGGGAACCATGGAATCCTAAGCAAGGGACTTAGCTTGGATCCCTGCAGTGGGCTTCCAGGAACCCCTTCCCTGGGCAGGCATGCCAGGCCATCTCCATCCCCTACTTCCTGGGTTCCTCCTCTGGGAAATCCCCACCCCAGCTCAGGCACCTGGCCCCAAAGCACCTGTGCCTGCAGTGTCCACTTCCAGGGCTCCTCATTCCCCAAGCAAGTACCTGGCACCTGGGCCACACGCCAGGCCCCATGCTCCCACCCGGCTCCCTTCCCAGCTGCTGGCTGCTCCACAACCTCATTTCCCCAAGCTGTGTCTCACCACGGGACAAGACACGGCCAGTGTACCGCCCCTGCTGAGGACCTTGGGCAAGTCACACCCCATCTCTGAGCCTTCATTTCTTCAGCTGCCAAGAACCACGACAGCGCACACCTCACGGCCAACGGCAGAGGCGGCTCCTATCCACAGACCAGTCCAGTTGTATGTGGGCCTATGAGGCCTGGGCTGGAGCCCGTGGCTTGCCTGCCTGCCTGCCTTTCTGTCTTAGAATCCCCGCCCAGTGTGCACGAGGAGACGGCGGTCTGTGGCGCCAGCCTCCACCTCCCCATCAGGAGCTCAGGTGCCCCCATCAGCAGCAGGTGCTCGCGGATGCCTCGGCTGTGGTCACTTACGGGTCGGGTAGCGCTCGTGGCGGCAGTCCAGGCGCAGGTCCTCCTCCTCGCTACACTCGCCCTTCTCGATCCTGCGGAGACAAGGGTGAGCTGGCTGGAGTCACGGGCAAGGCCGCGGTGCAGCACCGGGAGCACCTCCCCCGACCCGCTCCCCCCTCCCGCCGCCCCCTTCGGAGGATGTTTTGCAAAGTGTCTGTGTTTTCCTTGCTTCCAGGATCTGAGACAGGTGTGTTGGGATCAAGATGGAGTCGCTTGTGTCACTAAACAAGGCCGGGTGGTTCAGTCAGGCGGACAGGGAGGATGTCTTACGCACAGAACTGGCCTTGGGTTCTCCCGGAAGACCCTGGGAAGCCCCACAGAGAGGCTGCTGCAGCCTGACCCCAAAGTCACTTCTGCCAGGACTTTACACCGCCTCATGACCTGCAGCCTAAGACTGGAGCCTCCCCTGGTGTTAAGTCAGTGGTCCAGGATTAGTGTTCAAAAAAGTTCATTGGGGGCGGGGGATGGGTTCAGTGCCGTACTGGTTTGTGCCCCAGCTGCTCCATTTCCCATCCAGTTCTCTGCTAATACATCTGAGAAAGCAGTCGAGGACGGCCCAAAGCCTCGGGTCCCTGCACCTGCCTGGGAGACCTGGAAGAAGCTCCTGGCTTCAGACCAGCCCAGCTCCAACCACTGTGACCACTTGGGGAGTGAACCATTGGACGCAAAATTTTTCTCTCTGTAACTCTGGTGTTCAAATAAATAAATCTTTAAAAATAATAACCGATGTCATCCCGCTCATTTAGCTTTTTTAAAGTGAAAATAAATAAAATGTTTATCTCCTTGAAAGACAGAAAAAAAGAACAACCTCCAATCATTGCTCCATTTCCTGAATGCCTACAACAGCCGGAGCTGGGGGCCATGGGAAAGCCAGGAGCCAGGGACTCCTTCCAGGTCTCCCACGTGGGTAGCAGTGGCCCAGGAACCTGAGCCCAGGATGTGTGAGCAAGGAGTTGGATGGGAAGCAGAGCAGCCGGGACGGGGGGATAACACTGCAACAGGGGGCGCAGGTTCCCCCCGCTTCCCCTCCAGTTCAGCTTAACCCACCGCACCACACAACCTTCCCTCCACTTGCTTTCCGAGACGTCTTCCGTGGCTCACGCATGCCCAGGGCTGTGCACAGCTAGTCCCAACGCGATAATGAATAATAAATGCCACCGTTCCTCCGAGGCTCACTTGCTGCCTGTCATTTGACAGGAAACCATGTTTTCATGTTGTTGATGAAGATGCCAAGGGGCCCAGAGGTGCCTGGAGGTGCGCCCCAGTGGCACCCTGCCCAGACACCAGAGGGAAAGGGGCACACGGCTGTGGTTCTTACTGACAGTCACTGAATGTGGGCAAGATCCACGGGCTGCGAGCAGCGTGGCTGCTTTGGCGTGCTGTTCACTGACTCGCCTCAGGCAACGTATTCACCCCCGAATCAGTGTCACTGCCTCTTTGTAACAACCTCAGAATCACAGTGGTCTTTTGGTTCACCTCTGCTCCCTGATTTGGGGGCTACAGATTTTTATTGGTTGGATAACATTTCTCTGAACTAACTGAAAACATAACCTAAAGATAACTGTGCTTTTTTTTTTTCAAACATTCTGGCTGTTGAAAATATTTTAAACTTATTTGACAGGCAAAGACACACAACAGACATAGATTTTTTTTTTCCATCTACCAGTTTACTCTCCAAATGACATCAACAGCCAGGGCTGGGGCCAGGCCAGAGCCAGGAGCCAGGAATTCCATCTGGGTCTCCCATGTGGGTGGCAGGGATCCAAGTACTTGGGCCAGCACCTGCTGCCTCGTGGGATTAGAGGTGGAATCAAGATTAGGTAGAACACAGGCAGTCTAACCTGGGAGAGGGGCATCCCAAGACAGCTGTGCCCAACACCCACCGCCTAAAGACAACGACACAAGGTGTGTGTGTGCACACTGACACACACAGCAACATATGCACACACATGTCCACACACACATATGTATGCATACACCTTGATCTTCCACCTGCGGGCACAGCGCTCTCCCCACCAACCTGGCCTTCTCACCGGTTCCCTCACTCTCTGGCTTCTTGAGATCTCAGCAACTCCAGTGCCCCACAGGGCAAAGGCAGATGACCAAGCGGTACAGCAGAGGGCACAGGGCCTGGAGGGTGGAGCCAGCCACCGCATCCTCACCCCTGCCCCTCATCTCTGATGACTGGGCCAGGGAATGGAAGCAGTTCTGTCCCTCACTACACTACATCCAGATAAATCCCAGGGCCCCGCTGGCTCCGCTACATTGCCCCATGCCCTGAAGCAAAACAACACCCACAGGTTGGAGAGAACACACGCCTGACCAGCCTCCCTCCCTCCAGGCTCCTCCAGAAGACGGACCCTTCTGTCCCTTGGTTCCTCTGACCAAGCACAGCCACCCCATTCCCTAACCCCTTGCCCTTGAGCTGTAAAGCCACACCCAAAAGCTCCAGGCTACAGGAGGAGGCAGAGCCCAGGTGGGGGGTGATGGGCCGATCAGAAGGGAGCAACGGGCTCACCCACTGTTCATTAGGATCCCTCACTCATTCATTCTTTCATTCACTCATTCACCAGGAGGTCTCTGGGGGAGCCTGCTCATTGTAGTTTGGCCAGAGATATCTGTGGCATAGTTTCTGCTCTCCAAGAGTTTTCGGCTCACCAGGGCAGCCCAGCGAACACACAGGCTAGAAAGTGATGGCATACAGGGACCGTCCCAGCGGCCAGAGCTGGGGACAAGCTCATCTTCCCAGGGAAGAAATTCTCAACACAGACTCTTTAAAAATATATAAATAAAGATTGATTCATGCATTTGAAAGGTAGAGAGAGAGAGGTGGGGGAGGGGGCAGAGGAGGAAGAAAGGGAGGGAAGGAGAGAGAGAATGAGAGAGAGAGAAGGGAGAGAGAATCTTGTACCACAAATGACTTCAACAGGCAGGCCAAAGCCAGGAGCCCGGATCTCCACCCAGGCCTCCCATGTGGGTGCAAGGCCCAGGCACTTGGGCCATCCTCCACTGCTTTCCCAGGAGCATTAGCAGGGAGTTGGATGGCAAGTAGAACAACAGCCAACCTACGCAGCAATTCCTGCCAATGAGTGTCCTTGTGGGCCAGGGCACCTGCTGGCCTTGGGGACCCAGGAATGACCAGAGAAGGCCTTGCCCTTGAGCAGCTCTTGTTTGGCTGACCCTGTACTGTGTTTTAAGCTGGAAAATGCCAAGAAGGTTGGCAGGGTAAAAACCTCTAACTCAGGAGGGAGCTGACTTTGTTCTGGTGAAGATCCAAGTAAAGGCTTGGCTTGCAGGAGAGGGGTGTGTTAACCCCTGCTGGAGCCCAGTGGCTAAAGCCACCAGCTATGGCATTTCCAATTTCCCTGGGGGGATTGTGTGTGCTGGAAGGTGGGCATGGGAGGAAATTTCTAGAAGCGAGTGAGTGCCAGAGCCGAACCCTGAAGGCTGTGAATTACATTTGAGGTTTCTTTTCTTTTTTTTTTTTTAAAGATTTATTTTATTTTTATTGGAAAGGAGGATATGCAGAGAGGAGAGACAGAGAGGAAGATCTTCCATCCAATGATTCACTCCCCAAGCGGCCGGAACGGCTGGAGCGGAGCCAATCCGAAGCCAGGAGCCTCTTCCGGGCCTCCGAAGCAGGTGCAGGGTCCCAAGGCTTTGGGCCGTCCTAGACTGCTTTCCCAGGCCACAGGCAGGGAGCTGGATGGGAAGCAGGGCTGCCGGGATTAGAACCAGCACCCATATGGGATCCCCCATGGCTTAACCACTACACCATCGCACCGGGCCCACATTTGAGGTTTCTGATGTGTCGGAGGACCGGCTGAACTCAGACCTCCGGGATTCTCCTCCTCTTCCCCCTGCAGCTGTAGGAAGGGGTTGGAGAAAACAGAGGGAGGCAGGAGTGGCTACTCCCTCCAGATGTTCCTTACAGATATTTGTCCTTTGATCTTTGGCCACTTCAAGGAGCCCTGATGGGCCACCTCAGGTCTGATTTCCGGTTGGGGTGTAAAGAGGGGGCCCTTTAATCTCTGCGGGGGGGGGGTGTGTCTGAATTTCTGAAATCCATCCCTCCTTCCCCCCACCGGCACCAGCACCAGCACAGGGCAAGGCAGCGCAAGGTGGCGCTGAGAAGGCACGAGCGAGCAAGAACAGACGGCTACAGGAGAGGGGGGACCAAGCACGCGGGCGAGCTTGAGCGTCACGGAAGGGGCACGGAGGCCAGAGAACGCAGTGGCACTTAAACGATCGATTCACAATGGAGCGAAGAATGGAATTAAAAGGAATTTTGGCAAATGACTGAGCGCAGGTAGTAAATTAAGATTCCATAACCGTCACATCAAAGGACCCGCGGCGAGATAGAGAGAAATAAATGGGGTTTTAAAAAGGTTCACTTATTCCCAATTCTTGAGTAATATCATCATGCCACAAAACATTTGCAAAATAACAGAGAAGATAGAGCCATTGGCAAGGTAAATGCCCCCCCCCCCATCTCTCTTTCTGCTTGCGTCTCCAATACTGGGCTTTCTAGAAAAACTTCTAGAAACACCTTGCAGTCGCTTCCCTGACGTTGCTTGTGGCATCCCAGCTTCCACCTTGGACAACGTCTAGTCGGGGGCCACCTACACCGTGATTTCTCTCTCCAGTGAAGATGGGGAGCTTTGGAATGCTGTCCCCTCGTGTTTTCTCTCTCTGTAAGTAAATTCATCTCAGCAACAGATAAGCAGCTGTTGCTACCAGCCCCATCTCTCTCTCTCTCTCTCTCACACATATACACACACACACACACTCAAACACACATCCAGGAACCCCAGGCTCACCTGTCGCCCGCACCTTGCCCTCAGAACTCACTGCCGACGGCACCTTGGCCCGTGCTGCTCCATATGCCAGAATTTGGTTACCTCACCTGCTGGCAGTCCGTCTGGGGAAGGTGCCCGGTACCCTGAAGCACTTCCACGAGCGAGCTATCCTCCACTCTTCCTGCCACTGTCCCTGCACCCCCACACTGTGCCACGCCGTGAAGGAACATGGGCCCACGTGGCTATGTCTCTGCTTGTCCAGGAGCAGCAGGAAACCTTACATTTGAACAGGAAAACTGCCACTATTTAATGAATGTGAAAAGCACTCCAGAAGGCAAACCGGGTACATTGCCAGGCAGGATTCCACAGGGCGTGCTGGCATGTCACTGGCCATGTGCCCCTATGGCAGGCAGGGACCCTGTCTTATTTGCTTTGTACTGGGTGAGGAAAGGCAGGCCTCCCACCCCCGATCATCCCACACCAGGCTGCACTCCTCAGATCTCACAGAAAGCTTCCAGATGAATAGCAGCCCATTTTCCAGCTGGGAAAACTGAAGTAGTTGGGAACCCACAAACTTGATGGTACCAGTGTGTTTCTCTGCATGACCCACCAGGGTTGGGTAACTGCATACGGGGACAGCGCCAGCTGCAGGACATGCTGTGCCTTTGCCTGCTCTGTTCCCCAACACAACTCATTGCCGTGAACCACCCAGTCCTGCGCATCAGGCACAAAGCCTCTTCCAAGCTGGAAACTGGGGACCTAGTCCCACTCCCTGCTTCCAGGCCATGCCCATGGCAAGGAGGCGCTAGGAAGGGAAGCGTGACCAAGCAGGCAACCTCAGAGGCGTCGGTGCTGCGGAAGGAGCCGGAGCTGTCCTCCCACACCACCCCGGAGACGTGGTCGCCAATACCAAGTTCTCCCTGTGCGGCTGAAATTCCCCCTGGGGGCCAATCCAAGGCGTCTCATTTTTTTGCACACATTGTTAAACCAGATCTGAGCATTAAGTATTTCAGAAAACCCCGATTGGTCTGCAAATATTTACCCTGTATTCAGCAGTCCCCACCTCCCCTTGGAGAGGCCCGATTAAAACCTTGGGGACTCTGAGAGGGGATCCATGGCAGAGAGTTCTCAGAGCTGGGACAGGCAGGGTGCAGCTGATGGGCATGGAGGGAAACGGGCTCACTCTCTTCCCTGCCCCAAACCCAACACATGTGCATGTGGTCCCCTCCACATGAGCGTGTGTGTGCGTATACTCACACATACACACACACCTTTCTTCCACATCCCATGAAAACCAAAGCTGCTCTGATCTGCAGAGAAAAACATACCCAGAGCTGGGGTGGGTAGGGGTGGGAAATGGCAAGGAACAGTTGACTCCTTTGTGTCCCTAGGCCCTCCAGGGGGGTCAGCAGGTGAGGACTGCACGGTGGAGGATAGCAGGGAAAATGGGCACAGATGGCCTGCTGGACTCTGCACCCGGCCCTCAGTACCATCAACCCAAACCCCCATAGCTCCCACTCTACAATCACAGCCCACCTCTCTCCTGCCTGCTTGGCAGTTGTCTCATGGACTCTCAGCAGCCATGGGTCACCCCACCTCCTGGCCACACACACACACACACACACACACTCAACTCACTCATACTCTCACACTCATATTCAACTCACACTCTACACATATACACTCACATATGCACACATGCACACACACAGAGAGACAGAGAGCTTCTGTGTGCACTGGTCCCAGCATCATGTTACCATGGGGATCAGATGTGAACCTCCCCAATCTTCCAGGCCCTGGACCTTTCGAGACAGCTCAGGGCCTCACTCCAAGTGACCCAGCAATGAGACAACTGGAACCCACACTAAAGGTTGGGGCCTTTGGAGCCCCTGCTCTCCTGCATGGCAGCTGGGGGCCCGGATCTTCTTCCCTGGGTACCCCAGCTGTGGCTGTGAAGTCACTAGCCATTGCCATCTTCCAGCCCTGCAATGGAGCCCCTCTGCCAGCTGGTAACATCATCTATGTGCTGTGAGCTCTTGGTAGGGAATACAGTGGGGGGGGAAAAAAAAGAAAGGAAAAAATAGAACAGCCTGGCTTAGTTGAAATGCTTTCCTCTGAGGGGGAGAGAAATAAAATTTGATGAACCTCGGCATAATGCTGGCGTTATGAATGTGTACAGCAATATTCTGCACATATGCTGGGAAGCATTCACCTCGGGCCCTGGGCTGGTGGGAGCCAGTGAAACTGGGGCACCAGCAAGCTGTGGCCTCCTGCTGCCAGGCTCCCATCTTCTGACTCAGCAAATCCAACTGCAGTCACTCTCGGAGTCCCCTCCCCCCGCCGAGGTGGCCAGAGTCCAACTCAGAGTCCAACTCAGAGTCCAAGCATCCACTGCAGCAGCTGGATGTGCCAGGCTGTGCTTGCCATAAACACTGACCAAGAGACTGGGGACAGCTTCCCCGCACAGGTGTCAGCTGGGCTGAGCAGGTTAGCACTCCAGGCGGGGCAGCTGGTATAAATGCTCCGAGGTGGAGAAGCGGGTGAGCTCAGAGTAATCAAGGGACAGAAAGGAGGCCTTGGCAAAGACAGTCCTGGAGCAGTCGAAGGTGGGAGGGGGGGGTCCCCCTGTGTTGCTCCATCATGGCTAACCAGGCTGTTCTGCAGCCCAGTACAACATCATGGCCTCTAAAATATTCAGATGTTCCCCAAATTCTAACACAATGAAGTCCAACCCCTGCCTTGTCCAGTCTCTCCATTCTACCTTACATCCCCCAGAACTCTCTGCTGGATTATACCAATTGAGCGATGATGGCGGTAGGGGATGGGTGTTTAGGGCCACTGAGGCTGGACCCTGTGCTTTAGACTGCTGCTGGTGGCCAGAGGTGGCCACCATGTGCACTGACCTCTCCCGGAAGTACTTGATGGCCTCTGGGTCTACGAAGGTCGGCTCCTCCCTGTAGCCCTGCTCGAAGACCTTGCGCTTGTGCCGGAACTCAATGACCGTCTTGGTGTAGGAGTTGAGCGTGGTGACCGAGGCTGCCATGCAGCAGGTGAAGGAGCCCCACGCCAGGCTGCCGAGAGATGAGGAGAGAGGGAGGGCAGTGAGTAGGGCAGGGGGCCGGAAACCCCTCAGCCAGCCAACATGCCTCCTCTGGACCAGACCCCGAGCAGGTGCAGCCATGGAGAAGAACAAGTCTCACAGATCAGGTCTGAGAGACAGAGTAATCTGTACGTGGCAGGATTCGTGTGAGTGAGCCAGGAGGAGAAAAAAAAATAATCAAAACATTCTGGAAGGATAGAGTGGTATGTGCCCAGGCGCGAAGGCATGAGGCAGCAGGCAGCGTGCCACACATCCTCGGATGCTTGGGATGTCAGTGTGAAAAGGCAGGAGGAGAAGTGTTGGAGCTGAAGAGGCAGGAACTCATTTTTCATGAGCTAAACTACCTTGGATCGGATGTAGCCCTGGAAAAGAAGCTTAAACTCTTGGCCTCGTATTCCTCGGGTCCATGTGAACGGACACACACACACAGAACAGTGTTACGGAGTTGTTGCAAGGATTGCAGGAGATGATGCATGAAAGCCCATCTGAGAACAGCGTGGGGACCACAGGCAGCTTTCCAGAAAGGCTTGTTCTCATGGCTCACATCCCAATGGCGGATGCTCACGACTGGGTCTGCAAGCTCTCCCTTGGAGCAATGAGGCCATGACGCGCCCACCTGGGTCTCTAATCTGCATCTTTTCCTCTGTCTCCACAGCTGGGACTCTTACCTGCCCTCCCCCTGACAGCTGCATGCTGAGTTAGTCCACCTGGGCATCAGGATGTGCAGTTGGGAGATGCAGTGCTGCCAACAGCCTCTAGCCTGTTTCACCAGGCCAAGACTATGCTTTCCCATTTAGTGCCAGGAGCGGGATAGCCTGGCCACACTCAGCCTGGTTTCTGGGCTCCCCCAAGTCCCCAGTGCCTGGATGACTCGCCTTCCCCAAACCCAGGGCTCATGTTTGTTGTTCCTACTCTGCACTGCTGCCCGGGAGTGCCAGATCTCCCCTGCTGCTGGCTCACGCATCTGGTCTCCAAACACCATAGCAGTACAACCTCATCTCCCACGTCCACTGCTCTTTTCTCTTTGGGCTTCAGGGCACCCCGGAAGGCAGGCCAGGGGAAACGCAAGGACTCAGCCTTCCTCAAGGGGACCCCTGGAAACCAAAACACAAAAGCATGAACAGATCTCTCTGCAAGATAAGCTGGATCTTACAGAAGCCTTGGGGTGTGTGTCCACAGTGGCTGTCAGCCTCTAACAATGTCCGTGTCCACCAAAGGGTACAAGACCTGATCCAGACTGCCAGTTTACAGATGACTGGACAAGGGCTGGTCCACTGAGATATTCTCCTCTGTGCTACAGAGCAGGATTCTAGCTCAATCTAGAATGTCTCTCTCTCACTTTGTACCACTATGACTGCAACTTAAAGTGGAGGATGAAGAATGAAGAGTTTTTTTCTTTAATACAATGAGGATATTCATTTGTGCCTGACAGGCAAAGGGTCTCTCCTTCCCTCTCCTCCCCTGCCCTCTCTTCTCCCTTCTCCTCTCTCTTTTCCTTCCCCTCCTTCCCCCGACTCTCCTTCCCTCTCTTTCTCTCCTCTGTCCTCAGTTATTGGGGCTTTAAGTAGGGTTGGCGCCACTCCCAACTTCTAGATGCGATCACACGACCCAGGCCTGGCCAATGAGAGTGCTGCTTCCTTCAAGCGGCAGTGATTGGTTCGGGGGTGGACATGTGATCCCAGCGGGGTTCCTAAAACTCGATATCAGGACCTGGCTGAAGTATAAGAAATGAGCCCATCCTTCTGGGGATGTTAAGCTGGTGGGATTTCAGCCAGGAGTTGCCAGCAACCGTCTTACCATATCCACGCTAAGAATGAAGTTCAACCTATCCTACACTGTCCCTGGCTCTCACAAGCACCAGAAGGTGCTGGAGCCTAGCCTAGTCTGGCACACTCCAGACCCGGTCCACATCCATGCCAAAGGACACTACAGTCATGTCCAGTCCAGATCACCACCCCCATTCTGGCTCTTGTGCTCACCAGTGGGAACCACAACCCAGCTGAGCATCCATTAGTTACTCAATCAGGCCTGTTCCCAAACACAGATCTTGTGTGTGTGAATGGTTACTCTGACTCAGCCTGGCATAGCCCAATGCCCATCTTGGCATTTGTCATCAGATGCTACACTCTAGCCTGGCCTGCCTCCAGTTGCAACTCTCACTGGCAGGTACTGCCACTAGCCCTGCCCAGTCTGCCCCTAGCATGACCTGCACTCCAGCCTGGCTGCTGCATATGCCAGCATACAAAGGTTTGGCTGGCCCTGCCTGACTTTTCCCCTTCCCCCAGCCACTCACACACTTGCCAATAGATGGGGCTAGCATACTTGTGGTTCAGGTCTAGGGGCAGGCCAAGCTGGGCCCATTCATAATACCCACTGACAAATGTGAGAACCAGGTTGGGGTGCAGGACAGACCAGGTTGGGCTGCAACACCAGCCAGTTCACATTAGGTCAGGGACTGGGGTCTGGCTGGGCTGAGGTAGGCAGCAGGACCCACTAGCATGAGCTGGAACTGTGAGCTAACTGGGCCAGGCTACAGCACCCACTTGGCAAATGCCAAGGTAAAGTGGGCCCTACCGGACTGGGCTGCAGCACCCACCAGCATACATGAGAACCAGGCGAGTAGTGGAGGTAAGCCCAGTAGCAGGCAGCATGGGCTCCCCTGCTGGATCGTTGCTCCCACTGGCAAACATGAAAACTGGAACTGGGGCAGACCAGGCTGGGCAGAGCTGTAACACCTGTTGGCCTGCATGTGAACTGGGTTAGAGGGTGAGCCAGGCTGGGCATATGACTGTACCCACTGGTGCCAGAGTAAAGGCAGGTTGGGTTTTACTGCAGCATCAGCTGTCCAGTGCTAGGATGCTGGGTGCGGCTTCTCCCCTTCTCTCTCCCCTTCCTCCCAGATACAAGACGACAAAGAAATTTGGAAAAAATGATCTCATCCACTTTTCCCTATTCCTTGACCTTTCCCACCCTAATCAGTGGTCTACATGTGCATGCATCCTAAGCATCATAAAAATAAAAAATTTTTAAAAAGGAATGCAACTAACTCCAAAGGAAGAAGAGACATGAAAAGGAGCTCTTAGGAGCTGGGCAGAAGTTGTCTCCCCAAGCTCATTGAGACGGTTGGACCCACAGTCTGGAGTTAGCGTTCACACGTTGATGCCAATAGTTGATATGGGGTTAGACTCAAATCTTTACCAAACTGGCAGCCAGCAGCTAGAACCAGTGGGTGGTCTTCAGCTCACTGGGGGGCTTGTTTTTGGAGGTCACCATTATTGTTGTGTTTTAAGATTTATATATTTGAAAGAGTTACAGAGACAGGAGGTAGAGAAGGGTTTCCCACATGCTAATTGGCTCTCCAAATGGTCACAACACCCAGGGCTGGATGAGACTGAAGCCAAGACCCTGGGGCTTCTTCCCAAGCACCTGAACCGCCATCCTCCACTGCTTTCCCAGAGCCATTAACAGGGAGCTGGATGGGGAGTGGAGTAGCCAGGACTGGAATGGGTGCCCTGAACCACCATCCTCCACTGCTTTCCCAGAGCCATTAACAGGGAGCTGGATGGGGAGTGGAGCAGCCAGGACTGGAACAGGTGCCCTCACGGGGATGTCACACTGCAGGCAGCACCTTAAGACGCTGTACCACAGTGCAGATCCTGGAAGGCAAACTCTTGCCAGAGTGTTGGTGGTATAGGCTGGTGTCCCTGCTTTCTGGCTACCTGTGTAACGATTCCTCTATAGCCACTCTGCCAGCGCCAGCCTCCACCGGATGCCAGAATAATGGGACCGCCCCCGATCCTGAACTGTGAGCCAACATAAATCTTTCCCTGCTCAAGAAAGCGTCTCTCGGGTATTTTAAAGTCACAACAAGCTGACTAATGCAGGAGCTAAAGCCATTATCTCTGGACTTATCCATCACAGGCACCCAAACGCCTTGTTCTGGATATTTTTTTTTCACCCCTTAAGGCAACTTGAATTAGGTTTCTGTCACAGGCAACAAAAGTTCCTGTACAGTGATTTTCTGAAACTTCCCATTCTCTGCCAGAGTTTGTTTGGCAGTGAATTCCTGGCCTCCCCAGCCAGGAATCCTGGTTCTGCACCAAGGCCCACGCACAGCACTAAAGGGATCAGAAATGTCTCAGGCATTTAAACCGAAATATGGGGCAATATCACAAGTACAAAGCAATACACACACCCGGCAAGCTCGGTGGATGCCGCGGGAGACTTGGGGTGTGCTTAGAGAGTACTGGGTTGCCAATCTCAGGGGGTGCCCAGAAAAACCTGCTCTGGGAACTCCATGGAGCCAGATATGCACCTGCTGGACAGATGCAAAGATAGACTAAGCTGGGAGGAAATGCCCACAGCCCTGGCTCTCCACCTGCTGCCACTGCGACACCTTTTGTTCATTATGATGTTGCCCAGAGCTCGCTCCCTCAGGCACTCCTCCTCCCAGCTTTCTAGGCTTCCTTTCTACTCCCGAGAACCCCCCAGTTCTGACTCCGCCATAAGGATCCAAGGATCTGAGTCCTTCACAGACTGCTTGCCACCTTGCAGCACCACCTTCTCCTGGGCAAGCATTCTCCATCTACCATCTCTGAGAAGCCTCCTCCTATTCAACCCATCACACACACCTGCTTCACTTCATCACAGCCCCACCTGCAACATAACCTGTAATTCTGTCATTTTTTAAAATTTTCATGCGCCTGCTTTTAAAATTCATGTTTAAAAGAGTTTTGGTACTCAAAGATTCACCATGTTGAACAGTCATGGTGTTCCCAACCTTAGCGAAAATGTCCAAACTTTTGGCATAATGTTCATTGTAGATATTTGTAGCTACTATCGATCAAGTTCTCGTCTACTTAATTTCTTGGGAAAGTTTTGTTATCATCATGAGTGGATGCTGAATTACATCCAATACTTGCTCTGCATCAATTGACATGAGCACACAATTTCCCTTCTTTAGCTGGGTAA